GCTCGAGTGCGCTAGAATTTGCCGGAAAAAATCTGCCACTTCCTTACAGAGCCCCTCCTCCAACACACACGAACGCGCACATGACCAATGAGGGCACGAGATAAGTTTGTGCACAGATGGAAGGCTGACAGGCAGGTAGACCATCGTACTTTTTACAGTATTACGGCTTCCACAGATTTTTTTATGGATTTTTTGTCAAAGCACTTAAGATATTCATTGCTATCGGGATGTTAAGAGCATTCGATGGAATATAACAAAAAGTGTATCTCGAGCCGGTTTCTCAAACTTACCTACCCCACCTTTAAGTAAGACTTTAGATAGACCTGGAGTAACATTCCAGCTACCCTGCAACCTACAAAGTAATTAAAACTAGCTGCACATTTACCATCTGTTATGACCCGGCTCAAAAGGCCACAACAAAGAGGAGACACACCATGTCAACGTTTATCAAAAGATGTTTATTTAGAACAAACAATTCAAATCAAGTGGAATTTGTTATACTCAACAGAGTATAACAAAGTGCCTGCAGGGAAAAACAGAGAGAGAACAGAGAGGAGCAGAGAGGCTTTAAATAGCTGCAGGGCACCAGACCCAGGTGCCCTTTACGAATAAACGCAAGATGGAGACTGAGAAGCTTACATTATATGGAAAGCCGATGAATGAAGTCAATGAATTTAAATATCTGGGGCTATGGTTAGATAGTAAATGTACATGGAAAACTCATATTAAACAATTGGAAACAAAATCCAAAAAAGTGTTGAACCTATTAAGAGCAGTGGCTGGATGGGGGTTCAGACAAACAGGCATTAATCGACATCTATAGGGCAATTATGAGGACAACTCTGGATTACGGGTGTATAATATATGCAGTAGCAGCAAAAACGTCATTACTAAAAATTGATAGGTTACAATATAAAGCGTTACGGTTGTGTATAGGTGCAATTAAGTCAACCCCTACTAATGCAATATTAGTTGAAGCAGGAGAAACAAGTTTGTACCTCAGGAGTAATTATCACAATTACCTCAAAATATACACAGATGGTTCTAAGAACAAGGAAGAGTGTGTCGGAATTGGTATATATATCCCAGAATTTAAAATATCGATATCAAAAAGAGCGTCAGACCAACTTTCAGTGTATACAGCAGAAATGCTGGCAGTAGTAATAGGATTACAGTGGGTGGAAGAGGTCAGACCAGATAGGGTGGTGATATGCACAGATTCATTATCCAGTCTACAAAGCATACAGTCAACAACTGCCAGAGAAGACATACTCATAGAAATCAATCACAGCCTGTTAAGACTTCACAGAAGCGGCATAGATCTGCAGTTCTGCTGGGTGCCTGCTCATGGGGGGGTGAAAGGGAACGAGTGTGCTGATAGATTAGCAAAAAGTGCAATACAAAAGGAAATCACATTACCAGTTAAACTTGGAAAAGGAGAAGGAAAAGCAGTAATTAAGAAGAAAGAGATGGAGATCTGGCAGAAAAGGTGGGAGAAAGACCAGAAAGGCAAAGAGTATCATCAAGTGCAAAAGACAATTACAATTAATATTTATAAAGAAAGAAACGGAAGGGAGGAAATCATGATTGCTAGGCTCAGACTAAATCACACTGCATTGAATGGTACGCTGTATGTCATGGGGAAAAGTGACAGTGACAAATGTGGGAACTGTGGAGTTAGGGAAAATGTGGAACATATTTTATTACATTGTGTCACCTATAGAGTTGAAAGAGGAACATTAAGGGATAAAGTTTTAGAGGCAGAGAGGGAGTGGAATGTAGCTGGTATTCTGGGAACAGAAGGAGAAGGAGTAAGAGATACCAGAAAGACACTGTTCACCTTTTTGAGGGAAACTGGGATAGGGAAAATAATCGAACAGTAGGTTAGAATAGATCATGGATGATTTGTTTTTTGTTTTGTTTTATGGTTTCTTAGTTTATGTTTTTCGATATGCTGGTTTATTAGAGGGATGACATGATGATACGCACTCGTGTACAGTAGGTGGCGGTATGCAACCAAAAGCTGTTTGCGATCCGCCATTAAAAAGAGAAGAGCACAGACAGCACAGCCACACCCTCTCCAATGATGAACCCACAGGGGCATCACACCATCTTTGATAAACACATTAATGCATCAATAATCAAAATATATCATATATATTATTTTTAAATGGGCCAATCTGCATAATAAGTACCTAATTTTCATTTTTGGTAAGTATATATCTAGATGCTAATACTTGTCTACAAAATTACTTGAGTATCATTTTGAATGCAGGACTTTAACTTACAGCAGAGTATTCATACACTCTTGTACTTCTTCTTTTACTTAAGTACACGACCTGACTGAGTACTTCTCCCACCTCTGGTAAATTGTATGGACAATAAATCAGGGTTGCCAACTTTGGGTACCTGGCTGGAGTGAGATTTTGATATCATGGGTTTAATTCGGTTTAATTACACATATGCGCACGAAATGACTGCTATCGTGTCAGCAGCGGGACCTTAGCATATATATAGGATATATATACAATATATACAAATACACAATAATGGACACAGACTATAAAGGGCACACAGTTTCATTCACTAATGAAAGTCAAACATGTTTGTTTCCACTGTTTTATTGTATGCCTGTCGCGATAAGCAATTTAATTGACTTATCGTACGATAAATAAAAATGAACTCGATAACTTTTCTGACCTCGATACATTTCCATTTACATGAGGATGTGACTAGCAGTTTGAAAGGATGTACTTGAATTATTATTATATATTATCATTATGTCAGTGGTCTAAAATGGTCATACAACGGTGCCGACAATATTATCGTTCATCGCAATAATTTCCGGGAAAATGTATCCAACAAAATTAATTATCGTGAGAGGCCTATACATGAAACACACACACACAAACAAATCTACAGACTTACTCCAAACTGCCAAATATATTAATTAACACACTCTCACTCTCATATACTCTTTGACTCTATTTTGGCCTAGTAGAACAATAAGCAGCAGACTTTTACTTTTTTATCATTTCTACTGGATCTTAGATCTGCGCATGCGCTCTAGAGTATTTTTGTTGGGTAATCTATGGTAGGGCTAACCCATACAGTGGTGGGGCTCAAGTCAGTATTTGCAATGTAATTACATACACGCTCCCCCCGACAGTGAAACGCCACGCGTGAGGTTTAGATTATTTCCCTGTCTCAATCCAAATTGAACTGTATGAAATAAAAAGGCACATTTGTCTTGTAGTAAATAAAAAGGGCGACCTGGAGCCAATCCTGCAATTTCCCCACAGGTGAAAGAGTTGACCTGCTGAAAACCCAACCCCTGCAGGGGGGTCTGGGGGATTCTCCCCCAGGAGATTTTTTGAAATACTAACATAAAATACACATTCTGGTACTCTCTTGAGAAGAAAAATAAATAAATCTATTACTACACATTTAAAAAAATGAATGCCATATTAGTTTTTTGTTACTTTGTTCTGAAAGCTGAACCTGCTGCAGCAGTGCTGCTCCTCACAGAGAGAAGAGGGAAGAGGCTGTGTGAATTACTTTACATTGTGGATAAGGGTGGATAGCCCCCATTGTTCTGTGTGTCAAAATGAAAGACAGCCCACACACCTATCAATCATCAAACCGTGGGGTCTTATTTCATTACGTGTTGATTTCTATCAACACGTAATGTTGTATCGATGTAAAGAGATGTACTACCGCAAAAGTATTCTCCGTCGGGACTTCCTGCAACAACACCACGCCGTTATCGTGATTCTGATTGGCCAGAAGACATTATCAAAGATGTTCTATAGAGTGGCGAAGTCCCTCCCACTTACTTCCGGGGTATGGGACCTTATTTCGGAAAAATTATGCATTGAAGTCAATGGGGAGAGAAAACTTATCTTTCGATCCCGTTTGAATTGTGCCATGAATTACACATATGATGTTTGTCAAACTTAAAAAATCATTTCCATGTCAAAAAAGTCACAGTTTGTCGTAAAACTGTTGAAATATAAGACTATGAAAAATACGTAACTAGAAAGACTACAAATCCCAGAGTCGCGTAAGTGATGTCACAATTGTTTACCTCCACCATTCAGATACCTAAGATCAGCGCAATATAGATATAATCTATCTATATGGCGCTGGCTAAGATAAGATAACTTTAACAAGATGCCTGTGTGCTTAGTACCAGGTTGTTATTATACCAGCAATGGGTCTTGCTCGTTATTTTGCTTCCCGTCTGATGAAACGACCAGGAGTGGCTTGATCAAGTTAGCTACCTAGCTAGTAGCTAGCACGTTAGTTAGCATTACAGCCTTGTCATTTTTATTAGCCTTAACATGAAGTAACATTAAGTAACCCAAAATGTTAAACAGTAAGAGTAGTAGTCATATTTCGTGAACCCTTTGAATAGTACTGTCACCGGTGTGATCATTCTATAATACACCATTTAATTCCGGGGGGAGAAATGCTAACGCTAACGTTAGCATCGGCGATCTTTTCTACTTCATGCTATCTGCACAAATGGTTGACATTAAACATTAAAACGACCAGGCAGTTCAGAGAGAATCAAAGGAAGGCAGGCAGGCAGCTTTGCATGACATTCTTCAGGACGTGTTTCATTGTGGTGATAGTCAATCGTTTGTTGACAAGACAGTAGTGACGGCCATCTTGGTGACGTGTGTGGTTGACCAGAGATGTAGTTCATTTAGCGTTTCACACAAACAAATGTGTTACTTCACAGTTTTACGGCACATTTTATTTTTTTTGACTTGCAAAATTATCTTTTAAATTGACAAACATCATATGTGTAATTCGTGGCACAATTCAAACGGGATCGAAAGATAATCTTTCTCTCTCCATTGACTTCAATGCATAACTTTTCCGAAATAAGGTCCCATGGGGCTCAACCGGAAGGGGAGGGACTTCGCCACTCTATAAATGATTCTGAAACGGATCTTGGTGACCCTAAACTCAGGAAACCGTTTCTCGGAGGAGGAGGAGGAGGAGTCTCTAATCACCACAGCTGCCAGTGCTTCCTTCCCGCGGCAGAAGCATTGCCGCGCACATGAAGCAGCAAAATGGAAACTGCGCAACTGACTCAAACAAACATACCTTTTTACGGATAATTTCCACTTTCAAACTTTTCTCAAAGCTCGGTGTCGACGTTGATGTTGAACTTCTCCAAATTACATCCTAAAATGAATTTCCTGCCTGAGAAGTTGTACTAGTTAGCTAACTTTCATCATGGACCATCTGAACCTGGGATGTCAGGTAAGCTTTTTTTAATGCACCACAGTCAGTGATATGGAGGTAATATTTCGACATGACATACTGTCTCTGTGCTTCAAAGATTAAGTGCTTAGGCTGTTATCTGTATGTTAGCATTGCAACAGTGGGAGTAATATCAACCATGTGCAACACAGTTAACAGATGCAACGGTCGACATGATATGAGGACAGCCAGGGGCGTAGCACAAAACTCCGGGCCGGGGCCCTATACATAAACTGTCTCTGGGCCCCTTTTAGTACACATTTACTGACACAAACATTTGTATCATCTGTTGTAGACTCAAATAAATAAAATCAAATAAGAACTCATTCTCAAAAAAGATAAACGCCATTCTTAAAATGTATAAACGAACAATAGTTTGATTAATATTGATTAGAGTGCACAATAGAAATAAAATAATTCAGAGAAGAAAAAGAGATATGTTATCTATCAAAACCCAGTTAGATTAACATTCATTAGATTGCACACTTAGTTTGTTTGTGTGGATATGTAGCAAATTAACATTTTAAATAGCACTTAATGACTGACTGAATGGAAATGACAATAAATGAAAATGTAAAACGAAAAAAGCGATCATGAAAATGTTTCCAATAAATGAATAAAATGATTTTTGACCACTTTGTTGTTCAGATATATCACATATTTGTAACTAAATGATACATTAATTGAAACAAAACACGGTATAAACTGAGGAGTGAGTCCCGTGAGTTTCATGTGTTTTCTTCACTCCGCTGGGAAACTGCTCTCATGTCAAGAAGCATCAGATCATTGCATGCGCTGCATCGTCCAATCAGTGAGCGATACACAGTAAGGGGGCGGGGAGAGTATCTGAGGATTTCATTGAAGGATGGTCTGGAGGTTCCTTGATTATAGCTCCTCCATTATCGGTCCTCGGTCCTCAGGCAAAAATAAGGCCATTGGGACGCTACTCAAGATGGCACAGACAAATCAACTTCCGGTGAGACCGAGGAGCGAGGAAATGAAAAATAAGAGAAGTGAAACGCAGCCCTGGTGACCTGCCGCTGCTCCACTCTCTGTGGCTCTTTCTGAAACTAAGGGCTAAAAAAAGATTGCAAACAAAAAACAAAAATAGGTGAATTCCATGCATTTCAAGGGCCCTCTCCCCATCTGGGCCCTGGGTAGTCAGTCCCACTTGTCCCCCCACTACGACGCCCCTTGAGGACAGCAGAGATGAACAGAACAGTGCTAGTGGATCGCTGGAGCATGCTTATTGTAGTTGTAAGTGCAATGCCTTGCGGCCTGTAGCACCACCCTTGATGGAGCATATATGTGTGGGCTGGACCACAGGAGTGAGCAGAGGGTAGAGACTAGTTGTCGATTCTTGTTCTGTTTTCTGTGACTATCTTCCTCACCATGCTGAACACCCTCTCAGACTTTCAGTTGCACGCGCTACTAAAGAGACGCGCTACCATTGTGTGTGTGTGTGTGTGTGTGTGTGTGTGTGTGTGTGTGTGTGTGTGTGTGTGTGTGTGTGTGTGTGTGTGTGTGTGTGTGTGTGTGTGTGTGTGTGTGTGTGTGTGTGTGTGTGTGTGTGTGTGTGTGTGTGTGTGTGTGTGTGTGTGTGTGTGTGTGTGTGTGTGTGTGTGTGTGTGTGTGTGTGTGTGTGTGTGTGTGTGATGTGTGTGTGTGTGTGTGTGTGTGTGTGTGTGTGTGTGTGTGTGTGTGTGTGTGTGTGGTGTGTGGTTGTTGTGTGTAGTAGGTGTGTGTGTGTGTGTGTGTGTTGTGGTGTGGTGGGTGTTGTGTGTGAGTGTGTGTGTCGTGTGTGTGTGTGTTTGGTGTTGTGTAGTAGTGTGTGGTGTGTGTGTAGTGTAGTGTAGATGTGTGTGTGATGTGATGTTGTTGTGTGTGATGTGTGGTGTGTGATCGTTGTGTGTGTGTGTGTGTGTGTGTGTGTGTGTGTGTGTGTGTGTGTGTGTGTGTGTGTGTGTGTGTGTGTGTGGGTGGCCTTCCACCAAACTCCCTCTATCCTCATCTGTTGCCCGATGTTTCACTGGAAAAATATTAATAGATAAGAATCAAAGTTGAACTGTTGAAGGTTTCCTGTTGTCCCGTACAAAACTCTGTCCCTTCTTCTATTTCATGTTGATGATGCAGCTTCTTCTTCTTCTAGGTCTGCCTCACCAAATCTAACTACTTGTTTGATATGAAGACCCATATTCACTCACATGGACATGTACAGGTGGGCATTACACTTTAGGAACACCTTCACCTGGTTGATTCCCATTCTGTACCATTAACCAATACACTTAACTAGGAGATAATGCAGTTTTCGTGTTGGCAAAAAAAAGTCTGTTTTGTGTCTGCCCTGGCTGCTTTGCAATGTACACAGAGGAACGTGCGTGCGTGTGAGTGAGAGAGGGTGAAAGGTCATACAGAGATCAATCTGCATGGTTAGTGTGTATTTACGAGCGATGGGGGGGGGGGGGTTAGAGGCTGTGAAGTGAGACTCTTAGGATTGAATTATGTGAGTCGCAAATTGTAAAACTTTAAGGATGGGAGAGGATGCATTTTGGTCATTTTTTCTTACGTGGGGGATGGGATTTACTCTCAAATCTTCTACTGGTCCACATGCACCGTTCCACTTCTGATGGCATATGCAGAGGCAATTTAAATTATCATTGTTTTGCCTATACTGCATTAAAGCTGACAAGCATATAAGCATTTTACCATAATAATTTCCACAACACAAGAAAGGGCAAAGAGTGCAAACACCCTTAAAAGTGTTTATCTGTCTCATGAACAGCATTAATATGTGGGTCCTATTTTAGATTTGTGTTACTGCAGTTTTCCATATTCCTGTTTCTATGTGCTTTTATAAACCTCTGCATGTTTCTTTGTTCTTTACCAACAGACAATGATTGATGTCTTCCAGCAAGGTATTTCCTTTTTCTTTTGTTGGGAAAACGTATGTTCTGAGTGCACGTCTTGTGTGCACTCTTGTAAAAATGCAGAACAAAAAGTAATGATATTTGTTTGGAAATGAGACTTGAGTTTGAGCTTGCATGGGATCATTGTAATGCTAAAGCTTGGAAAACTGGACAAACTAGCTGAATAATAAAAGCAAACGATATAAGATCAGTTTATTTAAAGGGGACCTATCATGCAAAATGCACTTTTGTACGTCTTTTATACATGAATATGTGTCCCCGGTGTTCCAGGGAACTCACCAATGGCGCGTTTCCACTACAGCGCGGAGCACGGTTTAAGAGGGCTGTGACGTCAGCGGCCCGTCTTTGGTTGCGTTTCCACTTGGCCTAGTACCGGCCGGCGGGTCCTAATTCACAGTTTTTCTGGCCTCATAAAATCGTGGGTCTAGGGCCAGAGACAACGAGGCTGAGTCGGGCTGAGTATGCTAAACTAGAGAGAGCATCGCTGGCAAGGGGGCTACAACTACAACAAGATGGACATATTTGACCGTGATTTAATTGTAATACACGTTTCAAAATGATGCCGAAGTAACAACATACTGATACCGGTTAGTAAAAACCATGAATTAATGCTTTGACAAGTCTGCAGACAGACGGCAGGCGAAAAACCTTTTAAAATGCGTGTTTTCTAAATGGAGATTGGCTAAGCTAACGCAGTATATGCTCCGAACGTCCACACTCACAACAACGGCCTATACAGACATAAATAAAGCAGCGACTGTACTCGCCATGACACAGGCAGTCTGTGGTTTGTACTTGTTTAACTTTTGTCTAGTTTCTGAACAGATATGAGGAGCTGTGAGTTCTGAGTGCTAACAGCTAACGGCTGTGTTGTTTTTCTGGGGTTCTCATTGAAGATGATGTCACGGCTCCGCCTACACTGCGTTACTATAGATACTACCCCAGTTCCTAAACTGTAATGGAAATGCGCCATAAAGTGAGCCAGTCCTAACGAGGCCTAGCCATACCGAGCGGGGCCGAGCGAGGCCGTGTAGTGGAAACGCGCCACAAGTGTCAGAAAACACAACCCTCTCTATTTTCCTCCATACCCAAATCTCTAAAAAAGGGGCTGCAACGGATCTGATAAAAACTGATCCAGATTTGAACACTGTCCTGACGTCAGGACGGTGGCACTACGGCTATTGGGCCAACTCCACCAATCAGGAGGAGACAGCCACGACCATTGCCGTATGAAAGCGCTGGAGACGCTGTAGTACATATGCCAGGCCAGTAGATGGTGCTGTTCTCACAGAATCTGCCCTTGCTAAAACAGATCTAAAAAATGTCAAATTGAGCAAAATGAGGCATGGCTAAAATGCATGATCTGTTTGGTATTTTGAAAAAAAAAAAAGTATAAATATGCCTTATATAGGTATGGTCCTACACTATATTATTCAAATATAGCATGATAGGTCCACTTTAATGCATGTCAATGTCAGGTATAAAAGCATATAGAATTGGCATCTATTGATACAAGATACTACTTAGTCAATCTTAAATGTGAATTTATTTTAGCATTAGCTTTATTTCTAGTATACTGTTTTGCTATTCATTTGATAATTTATCAGCAGTCCAGTAAAAGTTATTTGAAAATCTGCAGCGAAGTCTGGACGCAGTGGAAAAAAAATAGCACTTAATGGTTTGGCTTAATTGAAGAAAATGGTATCAGCATTTTTGTTGTTTATATCTTAGTGTTTTATTGCACGTATGGTAATTTGCTTTGGATAAAAGATAAACTAAATGAAATGTAATGAAAAAATGTAAAGTTTTAAGTTACAAAAGAGTTGAGGTCTCCAGTAAATTATTCTTGGGGTTAGGTTAAAGATTAGCTTAAAGAAACAATAATGTAACGGTTTACTAACTTACCCAATTAGATATGCAATGCACTGCCCCCAGGTCAAATGGCTGTTGAGGGGTCCCTTTTCTTGTAACCTGCTTTAGAGAATGTGTCGCTCAGATTTTCTGTGCAGTAGATTAACATTTTTTTTCTTGTTAACTTCTTTTTAGATATGTTCAAGGGTCATGGTAAGGCTTTTTTTCTTTCTTCCTTTTTGTAAATAAATTGTGTAAGCATACTGAAACCTTGAGCTGATTTTGTTTTATTGACTTATAGAATAACGTAAAACACAGATTTATTAAAAATATTTCAATGTCACTGCCAATTAACTTCAATCACTATCTGTTTATTTTACTTTTTGAATTTAAGTTATGTTGGCTTTCATAAAAAGCTAAAGTCTAATCCTCTTTTCTTCCATTGTAATGTTTACTCTACAGGCATCTTTCCCTGCATTGAGTTGATCAAGTCGCAAGTCAGAGGTGAAATCACATGGCCCATCACAGGTTAGTAAAGTATCTCTAAGTTGGTTTGTAATTACATTTTTAAGCAGGAACGACCTGCCCCCCCATGTCAAATTGTCGCCCACTCTTCAAGCTTTTAAGTCCCGCCTAAAGACCCACCTCTTTTCCCTCGCTTTCGAGTCAGTCTGAGCTATGCACTACCTATTTGTATGCTTTTATTGTGTGTCCATAGTCTTTATGTGCCTTGTATTTATTCTTATGTGTGCCTTTTAGAAATAAAGTGGATTGGATTGGATTAACATTTTCTCTCATACATCCCAACATTAGACAAACCAGGCCTTTATTGCAGCAGAGTTGGAATGAGTGATGGCAATATGATGAGAAACAACGCACATGAATTACATGTTGTAACATTTCCGTTTATTATTTTAAGTCTCACTAAATGTTGCATTTTATATAAAACAAATTGATTTTGCATTCTACCTAAGAGCAGAGTCTTTATAACTAATGCTGACACAGGTATGGCAAGCCGATTTAGCTTTTATTCATTTCTGGAGGATATCAAAAATTCAATTCTTACTAGTAAGAATGCAAATTCTTGATATCAAAAATTGAATTTTAACTAGTTAGAATGCAAATTCTTGATATCAAAAATTCAATTGTAACTAGTTGTAATGTGTATTTCTGATATCAGAAATGCAATTTTATCTAGTGAGATTCGCATCGTTTTTCTCATTCATTTAAATGGGAGTTGGAATTTGAACTAGTTCAAATGCCAATTTCTGATATCAGTAATTCAATTGTTACTAGTTGCAATTACATTTGAACTAGTAAAAATACCAATTTCTGATATCAAGAATTCAATTTCAACTAGTCGAAATGCCAATTGTTGATATCAGAAATACAATTCGAACTAGTTCAAAATCCTTTTTTGATATCAGGAATTCAATTGTAATTAGTTATAATTAAATTTTTATTTATAACTAGTTACAATTGAATTACTGATATCAGAAATTGGCATTTGAACTAGTTAAAATTCTATTTTTTATATCAGAAATAAACATTATTACTAGTAAGAATTGCATTTTTGATATCAAGAATTCGCATTCTTACTAGTAAGAATAGATTTGTTGATATCCTCCAGAAATGAATAAAAGCTAAATCTGCTTGCTATACACAGGATTGTATACCTTAACATAGTTGAAGTCGATAAAGGACGCTATTTATTTTCCATGTTTGTGTTTATGCCAATATTTATAAAAAAATGTATCCCAAAAAGTATATTATTTGTTGCTGAACATCTGAGAGACAAGAGGCTAAGGTCTGACTGTCTGGAAAACAAAAATAGACTGTCTTGACCGTTTAACCTTTTTAAAAGAGGAAATAAAAACAGACCGCTACAGAGGAAAACAAAAGTTCAGCTAAAGGCTAAGTGGAGGAAAACACAAGTTCAGTTAGAGGTTACCGAAAGGGTAGAAATTCGAACCCCAAGATGTAGCGTCTATCGCTATCTCACCATCTTCCTACGCCTGTCTACACAGCGCTCCACTTGAATAAAAAAATCAGCTGCAGAAAACACAGATATAATAATTTCTATCAGAGTAATTGTTCAGTTTTAAATGTGCTTTTTTCCAGGCATATCGTTGTGTTTCAGTCGAGTGTCAAAAACATATTTTTACATGTGCCATGTCTGTGAGGAAAAGTTTCTACCAATGAGGATTTTATCGCACCTCACTTCAATGGACCACCACAGAAACTACTTTGTAAGTGCGGATCATCATTAAAAAAAATATGCAAATATGTTTAGAATTTGGACGCATACATTTAATTGTATTTTGTATTTCAGAGCTACATAAACCCCAACGCACTGAGTTTCTCCTGGATGCCTAAAAATAAATACTTCCTGAGGTCTGAGTTGAGAGATAGTGGAAACGATGAGGAAAGCACGACTGGAGACCTACAGGTCTGTAGCTTAAGGCCTGCAATCATATAACTAAATGCATTTTTTAATATTTAAGCAGCAAGTAACTCGATAACTTCAAAGATATTTTGCGTCAAGATTTCTTTAATTGACGTCATGTTTGATTGATTTGACATTTTCTCTTTGCAGCTGTTGGAATTGCCTGGAAAACTGTTTAAAAAAGTGGAAAAAAGCAATTACTCTGAGGGTATATGATTGTTTGATGTCTTATAATTATATCATATTTGAAAAATCTATTGAATTGTACATTATTGAAATTGATCTGATCCTACTCTCCAGTGGCTTGCACGCTCAGTAAAATTGAGAAGCTTCCCAAGATGCATGAAGGTGTGTATGCACATTTATTCTTGGGACTCTATTATTAAAATGAAGCAATGCGTTGTCATTCTGTTATACGTAATCAAAGCAGCAGACATTTGTTTGTTTTACCTGTAATAATCACTCAATCTTTATAATATGTATAATGGTGACACATTTTGTAGCTTTTCTGGATATAGTTTAGTTCTGATATCTCAATATACTGAATATTTGCATCTGTTTGTACTGTGTGTATTTACTCCAGCTTTCCATTATTCTTTATCACTGAAATATCTTCCTCTCCCCCCAGTTTTCAAGAAAGAGAGGATGACAATACAAACATACCTAAAAGACAGCAAAAGGGAACATCCACTTCTTGGTCAGTAAATGTTTCAGAGAAATTCCACTGTTAACTTCCTTAATGGAAAAAGGTAGTCTCTTTACAGCTGTCGTATGCAGTCTTCTAGAATCAAATTACTACTCTAATCCATAAGGTAAAATTCACACTTGTTCCCCTTTTTTTTTGTTTTCTGATCATTGTCTTTTAGGCATGCAGCACCTGATTGAGTGCATTTGTGTCGGGCAAACGGAGAAGAGATACTACCTCTGCACGCTCTGCAACATAACTTTGGCCCCCCAAGGGATCATCAAACACGTCCTGAGCTTTGACCACATCTTTTCTTACTTTGTAAGTGCCTCTGACGCAAAGTTAATATACATGAAATAATTGCTGATGTTTAATTTGGCAAAAGAACATGGTAGTTGTGAATCCATCATTATTGTTTGTCTTCTTGGGAGGCATTCATTAAAGTTTTATTCTCTGCAGAAAGCGTGGCACCCTTCAACTTTGTCGTCAAAGCATTCTTTCAACACTTACACAAAAGACTTTGGCTCCCTGATGCTTAATTTTGCAAAGCAGTCAGAGGAAATTCATGGTACTGCAAACATGGATATGAAGGTAATGAAGTTGATTGTCTTGTTCATATTTCCAAACGGATGCTTTTGTTCATATTCGTGTGAAACTTTATGACTTCCTGTTACAGCAAGTGATCCTGGAGCCTGCCAAATTCTCATCAGTGAATTTCACCTCTTATGAAGAAGGTTGGTATTTTTAAATTTTTTTTAGTGGAACCCATAATGTTTTATTAATTGTGCCTGTGGTTGTTTTGTAGCTTTAAAGGAGTTGGAATCGATCACAAAGGAAAACAACGGGAGCAGCTTGATGACGATTGTCAAACCAGGGAAGAAGCTGGGTATGTATTGAAGTGAAATCTATATTGTCGTCCCTTTGCTGTCCTACAATAGCTAAACTATTACAACATTTTCTCAACATCTCTGTTTAATGGTTTTTAGCGTGGTGTATAATAGAGTGGTGCAGGAACGAGTCCTAAAACCCGGAAGTGAGTCAGCATTTCACCACTTCCCTCCTCTCAGAGTCAATGGGATCTCTCCATAGGATTTTGGAAAATAGCTGGAAATAAGGTCTGTGGTTGTCACAAATTTAAGAGACGGATCACGTTTTGTTCTACGACATTAAATGCATCAGCAGTGACCCCACTGGTGATTTTTGAAGAGCTTATGTGTCTGAAAAACGATGGTTGTTAACAAGTGGCGGATTAGGACTATAGAAGTTGTGGAGACCGTTGTACGTCATTACGCCGAACACGTAAACACTCCCGCTAAGTTTGTTTGCCCCTGTTCTGCTTGAAAGCATGTACCTGCAGCTCTTGCAAACTGTTAAAACAAACGCTTCAACTTGTACAATTTAGAATCTGTATTTTTGAATATGGATCTTAAGTTGGCGTGACGTTGAAGTCGTGCGACCCTGCTGTAGTTCGTTTATAGCATGACGTTAGCATTTTGCTTCTGGCGATTAGATTTATGATTCGAAAATTATAAAAGTAGGGTAGACATGTGGAGATTATCCGGCTGAACAAAACGTGCATTTATCTAACAGGTTCGTTTTCCACAGACCTTATTTCGAGCTCTTTTCCAAAATCCTATGGAGAAATCCCATTGCTTTTTTGTCGAGGGAACCCATGCGCAGCTTACTCCCGGGTAAATACGTCATCTCTGCACCACTCTATAGCTATATAAGATACAGATACCCAGTGTTGATAGACAACGGATAACAGCTGTTCTACTCCCCCATATCTGGGTTTCAAACGTTCCCAGCATCTACATGCAAGATGAATCGGGCACAGAATCCAGCGTGGCCTTCAACACCAGCCGAGTCATTCCTGCATTCGGTGCCATTTCAGCTAGGTTAATCAAAAACATAATTTTCCATGTTTTTTTTAATTTAATCTGAATGATGGCTTGTTAAAGTATAAGAAAAATATTTTGGTCAAGCTCAGGATATTATGTTTAAAACATTTATTTTTTAACATCCCCAGTTACTGTGTGTCCACCCTGTTAATGTGAAAAATAGTGACAGGGTGGACATTTTATGATAAACTTGGCTATTGCTACATGTGTGATGATAATCAAGCTAGCACTTGGTGACAACAGAAACATATGATAGATATATTCCACATATTTTCCAAATGTAAAACTAATGATAATTTTCCACTAAAATTAATATAACAGTGTGGACATGTTATGCTTTACCGCAACAGTTAAGTTCTTTTAAAAACGTTGAAGGAAGAATGTGTTTTATGGCTCACCAACCTTAAATGTTAACACAGAGAGAGATCAATAAAACACAAACACAGACATGGTTGAGATTAATTATTATTCAGTTGCGCAACAACAATAATAATCTGGAGTACATCACCTCCTGCCACAGCAGCCAATCGTGGAAATGCCCCCCAGACCAGAAAGATCTCATGTGCTTTATACATGTAAAACACACACGAACATACACTTGAAACAGCATACGTGGCAGAGAGGTTCAAGCCTTATACAGTCATATATGTTGCATCCTCTGAGTTTGACATGATCCCAGATTTCATGACTTTATTTAGCAGCTACCACACATGCTAATGTATACAACTGTTAAGACTAAATGTATACACATAGTTTTAACCTAAGCATCGGGCCCCTTTTTCCTGTGTGACCTTAGTGAATAACGAAACATGACTTCTTGAGTCATACAAATAGTAGAATGGTAAAGGGGCGTGTCCAGAGGGATTCAAATCAGAGTAACAGGGGGGACATTCAAACAGGGGACACACACTTTTTTTTAAACTTTAAACAATAAAAATGAATTAATAACAAAAATCAAATTTGGTGAGGAATATTAGCAAAAGGGTTATACAACAGTGACAACAATGTAGAATTTCTTTGTATTTCTTTGATTTCTTTTTTTATATCTGTTACAGAAGTTGAGCAAACATGATTTGGGACACAGCAATTTGGCCTACTTGTGCTAAAATCAGAGTAATTATTTAGAATTTTGAATATCCTGGGTAAATAACATTGTTGTTTTATGATAGAGGAGGATAAACATTTAAAACCAAGCTTTTAAAAAAATAAGCATTAGACATTTTAAATACAAAATATATGATATAATGGCACCGAATGCTAGGAATGACCCAGCTGCCGTTTTATGACCTTTATCAGGCATTTAAAATCTCTAATGTTTGACTGCCAATGTGTATTCAGTAGGGGGTCGGTGGACTGGTCAAACTGCACGGTGGTAAAAACAGTCCTGCTCCTAGAGGAAACCTGTAGTGCTAAGGAATCTCTTCATTTTTTAAAGGTCCCATGTCATGGCCATTTCTACTGATCATAATTCCATTGTTGAGGTATACTAGAATATATTTATATTGTGCAATTATCCAAACTCACATTGGTTTCTCATACAGCATCTCTGTATATGTGTATTCACTCTCTGTCCTAAACGGCTTGTTGGAGCTCCTGCCCCCCCCCTCCCCTCCCCTCCCCTCCCTGTGAGCCCAGTGGCCGTCTGCGAGACTCCGCGGAACTCAGCCTGGGCACACGCACACCCGCAGCCTGGCTGGGAGTTTGTGTGTGTGCCGACGTTACGTCACTATACCCGAAATACGTCACTATACCCAAGAAGTAAACAATGGAAAAAGATAAATCTCCAACGAGGCGTTCTGGGGCAGCATAGACAGGTCTTTTCTGTGTTAGAGTTTTACTCGCTACAGGGTGTACTTTGAGGGTTTGTGACTCTGCAGACTGTTTACATATACATTAAAAAGCTACATAACACACAAGGGGACGGGTAATAACCAGAAAAGCATGACATGGGACCTTTAAGATCAGCTTCAGATCCCGGTTCTTAAACCCCATTCATTCAAATAGCCAATTTAAAAATCTAACACCTTATGATATCAAACCTACACAATCTAGTTCTGGTGTCACAAAGCAAAGCTTTAACCCTTAACACCTTAACTACTACTGTTACCAAGGTAGGTTTTTATTTGTATTTTTCAGAAGACAGAATGTTTTACTAATAGTGCCTATGGTTGCTTGTAGTTTTAAAGGCTTTGGAATCCACTCCAAAGGAGAAAGATGACTGCAGCTCGATGACAATTGTCAATCAAGAGAAGATGCCAGGTATGTATGCCCAGTGTTAATTAGACACAGCTGTTCTACTCCCCTTGAACTTGCTTTGAAACTTTCTTAAAATCTACATGCAAGACCGTCTTAGTCTGGTTAGGGAAGTAAATCCAGCGTTGCCTATAACACCAGCTGCCGTTGGATCACCTATTTCAGGCACTGAAACCTCTTGTGTTTGACTGCCAGACATCACCACAATGTGTATTCAGTTGGTGTCGGTGGACTGGTCGAAACTGCAGCAGTGTTTTTTTTCTTTTCTTTAAGGCAGCCTCAGAGGTCAGTCCCTAAACCCCGTTAATTTAGGGTGCCTTGACACAATCTAGTTCTAGTGTCAGAAACCAAACAAGAAAAGTACATCAAACAGAACATCAAGCAAAACCAAGCCAACCAGAATGACCAAATGATGTCCAAGGGAATCTCACAGCATTAACCTTAGAATTTACTCTTGCTTCATCATAGAAATGTCTATCCAAATTGTTACTAAGGTTTGTTTTTATTTTTCAGTGGAACCCAGTGTGTTTTACTTACTATGCCTGTGGTTTCTTGTAGCTTCAAAAGAGTTCGAATCCATCACAAAGGAGAATGATGAGAGCAGCGTGATGACAGTTGTCAATCCAGAGAAGAAGCCGGGTATCTATTATTTCAATGTGAACTAGTGTTTGATAGATTCCAGAAAAAAGGATTATGTTTTCAATTATCATAAAAACTAAATTATTCTTATGTTTTTCTTTGCAGAGGAACCTATTGCATCATACAAATTACACTGTCAGGTAACAAAATATCACAATAACACATTTCATTACTGTATCCTGGAAGTTATTACTGTACCTCATGGAAAACATAAAATTAAACTAAGCTTTGTTTCACATTTGTGTCTCACTTTTGACAGAACTGCGGTTGGGGCTTTAACTCCCTCTCTAAATACTGCAAACACGTGTCGTCATGGAAACACCGAGGGGTAAATCGACATTTTCAAAGCTTCCTACAGAAGGTCTTATGCTACGGAAACGTACATACTATAATATCTGTCTCTCATGTTCCTTTTCTAGATGGTGAATAAAATCATTGGCGGAGGTACCATTTCACTTTCCTCTTATTTTTAATAATATGATGTATTGTTCAATAAGATATGATAATATTCTTCCTTTTCTTACAGGTGCTGATTGTTATGGCCAACAGGGTAAACGTTATTCTTTCTGTTACAACATGCTGCAACACTCATTTAAAAATTAAAACAATATTCGGAAAAGGTCGGAAAAAAAGTAGATCCAAATCTAAACCGAATCACACCCTATATACATTTTCCTTCCTTTTTCTTGACAATGATTAATGTTATCAGTTTCCTAAAATATGCCTTTGTCCATTTTGGAAACTCATTACACTAAAGGAACAAAGATTGAGTTGATTTTAACATGTGTTTTTATTCATGTAAAACTATTATATTATTTTAAGCTTTTCCTCCTAACCTCTTCCTTTGAAACATTAGGATGGGTTCCTGAACTGGGCCTCTACTATATCCACAACGAGAGCTTGAAGCTAAAACAACCCCATATTGGTGAGCGCTTTAACATACGTTTTGTTAGGTGTGAAACTGAAATCTATATAATTTCTTAATGTGTTGTTTGTTTGTGTAGGTGTTTCCCTGGTTATGACGTTTGTCTGCACTCGGGTTGAGAGGGAACCTTTTTACATTTGCTTCGCTTGTGAGGAGTGTTTCTCTGAGTCCTCTCTCAGACAACACTTACACTCTACACAACATCTCGTACACACGTTGGTGAGCATTGAGTCGTTTATATGGTTGGTGTGTATTATAGTGACTCCTGTTCTCATTGAAAATGTGTATTACTTTTCTCCGCCACACTCATTTTTGCCTATCAACAGTAAACAAGGAAATGTACATACTATCTATTTGAAAATGATACTTTTTTTTTAATAAGTTCAACTTAAGATACAGTACCTTTTTGTTTTAAAATGATCAGCTTTTGTCTTGAATTCTCAGCTGTACCAGAACCCGTGGCGGCTTACTTTTGCTTGGAAGAGTTCCCTTGATCTTTCTTTTTTGAGATCAATGGCATGGGAAGAGGAGAAGGAAAGAGGAACAAACCAGAGGAAGCTGAAGGTAAAATGCCCAATAACTCGGAACAGAGCTGTGAAAACTGTGAAGATATTCAAAAGCTTATTTGCATTGAAAAGGAATCTAACTTTGATATAACCGCGTATATCTAAGTCGTCTCCGATAGCGAGCTCCGATGCTGATAAGGCACCGGAAAACGGCTGTTCTATCTTTAACTAACCCCCCAAAATCTACACACAAGATCAACGTAATCTGTTTAGGGAGGCAACTACCAGCGTGGCTTCTAACACCAGCTTCCCGTCGTATCACTTATTTCAGGCACTAAAACGTTGCTTGTCCGACCGCCAGGATATCAAACTGAGTGTGTAGTGCAGTAGGTGTTGGTGGGCTGGTAGAACCCCAGAGCAGGATCTCAACCTGGAGGAGAAACCCTAGGCTCGTCTCAATTGAATATTTCACCTCCTCCTTTCCCTCACTCGCGTCCCTTCCTTGCGTCTTAGCTCCGCCTCCGTAAGATGCGAGTGAGAGACACGAGGAGGAGACGCGAGAACAGAGGAGTCCTCGGGTATTAATTGGGATGTCCTCGTTCACTCAAACGTCACTTTTAAACGACGTCTGTTAATGATGACATGTGCACAGCTGTATCCCCTCTCATCGGGCTTAACTGAATAACCCTTTAGAACCGGCCCATTTGTTGTTAAATATTTAAATGAATGAATCTTTCTCTTGTTAGTCAAGGAATTCAATGTATGATGGTTGGTCCTGCTTTTGTGTTCCGTTGTGGTGCAAAATGTAGCCTACATTTAAATACAAATATAATTATAGTAATGTGAAAGCCTTTACTCTGAACATGTGTGTCCTGTAGATCCCCACATTCACCACAAACCCACATTCAGGACTGTGAATTTTAAATAATTTAACTACTGAATATCTTAACACAAAAGTAACTATAAAATAATTGTTATTTATCAAGATCTAGCCATTTATGAAATAGCTTTCTTAATAGCTATGTTTTAGTGACGTTCAAGATCATTAAACATGACTTAAATTGTTAGTATAACCTTAAGAAATTAATTGCACATAATAATTCCCACGGAGCTGTGAGCACTTAGATTTATGTGACGCTTTTCCACTCATTCTTCCAGTTCTCCGTTTTCCTGTGTTGAAATCGACCAGCTGTGAAGGTGAGGGCGGGGCTTTTATACGCGAGTAGTGAAAACACTTCCCGCGTAGTCTGCTCTCGTGTATCCTCCCTTTCGTCTCCTCCCTCACCCCTCCTCCCTCACCCCTCCTCGACTCCTCCGTGTGCATTTCAAGTATTGGGACGTCCTTCAACATGGCGTGTCTTGATCGATTTCCGGGTCAAGTCCCGGAAGAGGGGAAGAGAGGAGTCGAGGAGGGGTATTGAGATGAACCTCCTGTGTCGTTGGGAGACTCCCTGGTTTAGGGCAGCTTCAGGACCCACAATCCCTAACCCCCTCTTTTGAACCCTAATTATGCCAATTATAATAATGCAAATGTAAAATCAAGCATAGCCAGAGTCAAACACTGATATCACAGCTGTGATATTGCAACACAAGCAAAGCACATGTCATATTTCAGCATAAATCAAAACCACATCAACCACAGTCACCAATATGAAACTACAGCTTAACCTTAGCAGGGTTTCTATTTCCCTTGAACAATTTGAAGTCCAAATTATCAAACTACTGTCAGCCTTTTCCAAGGAAGGGTGTCCTTACCTTACTCTAAGACCAAGCAGATACCTTCAGAGACCACCAGAGAGACCAGGAATTGGGTCGAAGTGTACAAAGTACAAACCGGTTTTATTGGGTTTTTACACAAATAGAGGATTACAAGATCCAAAAATGCAAAAGAAAAATGTAAAAGTTTTACAAAGACACAAGGTCAAAGTACGAAAGCATAGGCTCCCAAGATAACCCTGAAAAATCTCCAACCTAAGGCCCAGGGCCCAAAAGCCAAGACTCAAAAAGCCTCCCCCAAAAAGCCTTAAACAAACTTAACAAAACTGTCTCTATTGTCTCTAAGATTGGTTGGTCCAGGATGTTGGTTAAAGTCTTTACGCAGTTCACCTGCATCCTGTGCGCATTGTCTTGGTCAACCGTTCTCAAGGTGTCAAAAACCACAAGGCCGTCCTAGAATTGTGGTGGAAACTTTATGCTTTGCTTCCACATTCTAAAATGCACAATCAGCATAGGTCAAACGTTCAAGATGTTCTCTCTGGTTTCATATGTCTAGTAAGACATTATTGAGAAATGCTTCCTTTCCATCAAAACAAACAAAAGCCAATTTAGCATTTTTTTTTATCAATGGTAAGTTTAATAGGGGTAGTAGAGGTAGGTGAGGTCTGTCACGGCCATTTAAACAGCAGATCTGTCAACAGCATAAAAACAAAAAATGAAGTCCAAAAGGCAATAAATAACCTCAATAAAGTTAAGCTATGTAATAGAAGAAAACAAAACTACCTCTCTGCAATCACCTTGTGTGGAAGAATGTTTCCTTAAGCCCTCACTTATTAGAAAAATGTTTACTTTCACAGGTTTTTGATGTACCATACTGGATATTTGAGGGCCTCGACCAGCTAAATTACGTACAAGGTAGGAAATGGTATTACATTAAACAATTTAAAGAAAGCTCTTCTTCCTCTCTGCATTTAAGATCTTGTTTTTATCAAGTACATGTTGTGACATCTCATTCTTAAATTTGTCTGCAGTGATGGAGAAACTTAGTCTGTATCAAACTGTCTTAAGGATCGACGGTGAGTGATAAAATAACATCTTAGTCTTTAATAATAATGCATTGAATTCATTACTTTAATGTAATTTAATTTGTATTTATGTCTGTGCAGTTCCTGAGCGTGAGACATACAGCAAACTCAAACGAAACGAGACATTTCCTCTGCTCGGTGAGTAATACAGAAGAGATTAAGTCTTGCCATGAATAAGAAGTGCAATCTGTGTTTCTGATGTTTCTTTACCTCATCTTTGCAGGCAGTCACTTCCTGGTCATTTACCCCAGCTGTGCCAAAGAGCTTTCTCTCACAAGAAAGGGATATGTGTGTCTGCTTTGTGAGAGGAGGTTGTTCGGCGATGAATGTTACGCTCATGTGTTCAGTTTTGACCATGTGGCGAAATTTCTAGTAAGTATCTTTCGTCAAACTTCTTCCTGCATTATTTGTCTTAATGTTGATTGCTTGGTGCTCTTATCGTTGCCAAGTACTTGCAATTATTCGGGTCGATAGGCAAAGTCATCTCGGGTCAAATCCAAGCATTGTGTCTGCAACCTGTTCAATTGTTAAAGGGGACCTATCATGCAAAATGCACTTTTTGATGTCTTTTTATACATAAATATGTGTCCCCGGTGTGTCGGGGGAACTCACGCAGCGTCAGAAAATAAAACCCTTTCTCTTTTCCTCCGTACCCAAATCTTTTAAAAACGGGGGTACAGCGAGCAGATGCAGATTTGCTACCGATATGACGTCAAATCGGCGGCGGATCCACAGAGTGTTGCTATCAGAAACAATGCCTGACGTGTTTTGGACGTAATCTCGTCTTTGTTTACATTAGCAAGCCTCGCTAACACTCAGAGCTAACCTGTACTGGAGAGCACATGTGTTTAAAAAGCAGGAAATAAAAAAAGGAACTCACCTTGTGATAAACCCGCAAGAGAAAAAGCATTTGAGCTCCATACTGTTTCAGAAATAATCCTTGATGTGGTTTAGAACAGGATGGCGTTTTATCACAGCAGAATTTAACTTTATCTCCGGTAGAATTCTGATCAGGCATTAGCCTACTCTTCTTTCTTTTTTTTCAAGCTAAGGACCCAAATTCCGCGTTTCTCTAACAGGGCTGCAAAAGAGGGGTTTGAGCAGTATGAGGCATGGCTACAATGGGTGATCTGTTTGGTATTTGAAGCAAAAAACTTCAGACATGTTTTTTATAGGTATGGTCCTACAATATATTTTTCCAATATAGCATAATAGGTCCACTTTAAAGGGGACCTATCATGCAAAATGCACTTTTGTACGTCTTTTATACATGAATATGTGTCCCCGGTGTTCCAGGGAACTCACCAAGTGTCAGAAAACACAACCCTCTCTATTTTCCTCCATACCCAAATCTGTAAAAAAGGGGCTGCAACGGATCTGATAAAAACTGATCCAGATTTGAACACTGTCCTGACGTCAGGACAGTGGCGCTACGGCTATTGGGCCAACTCCACCAATCAGGAGGAGACAACCACGGCATTGTCATTCGAAAGCGCTGGAGACGTTGTAGTACATATGCCAGGCCTCTAGATGGTGCTGTTCTCACAGAATCAGCCCTTGCTAAAACAGATCTAAAAAATGTCAAATTGAGCAAAATGAGGCATGGCTAAAATGCATGATCTGTTTGGTATTTTGAAGGAAAAAAAAGTATAAATATGCCTTATATAGGTATGGTCCTACACTATATTATTCAAATATAGCATAATAGGTCCACTTTAAACTATGCTTTTCTTTTTTTTGTGGCATTTTTGTTTTTGTTTTGATTGTTTAAATTGGGGTTTGCCATACAACAACAACCATGCTGGAAACATTTTTTTAATTTCATGCGCTGTAAACCACTCAGCTACCGAGGGGTCAATCATTCCATTCTGCCTCATCCAGACCACATCATAAACAAAAAGATAATCTAAATATAAGATAAATTACTAGTGTGTCCACATTTACATGTTGTCAAGCATGTGTAGCAAGAGAATGACTAAACTAAACATGTGTGTATATGCACATTGTGTGTCTGTTTGTGTAGGAGAGTTTCCATCCAGGCTCCACGGATTCGAGCACTGATGCAGAGACGTTGGTGGACTTTGCAAAACAGGCGGGGCGCATTCACCCCATATCACGTGTACAGGTAGTCTATACAGGAAATGTAATTTCTGTATCATCTGCGTGAAGCACTACTCTAGCCTTTCACTTATTCTCTTGTTTCCATATTCTCTGACTTTTAAAGGTTATACATATGGAGAGGCCAATCTGGGATCCGTGCTCTTACTCTACCAGTGAGTATTTTTAGTGCAAACTATGTTGCAAATTGGCATCTGTGACTGTGATTTATTTTAACTAATATTACTCTATTTTATTCCAGCATTAAAACTCCTGGCAGGTAGAAAGTGGACCATTTGTCAAGCAGTGCTTACAGCCCCAATTATACCTGGAAAGAAGCTGAGTAAGTCTAGCCAAATAAAAATGTTGAGAGTCATGGCACTGTTTTGAGTTCAATATCACCCTAGTATCAGTAGCGTTATGGAAACATTATCTTTGCAGTATTTGAGGTCTGGGTTCCGATGTTTTTTTTTTTCATATTTTATTGGTTAGAGTTGAAAAATAAATCTTGAGACCATTTTGCTTCTTAGAAAACTGCCAATAATAATCTTTTCACCTCATTCACTTTTTTTTTATTTGACAGTTTATAGTCATATAGAGTGGATACTGGATAAAAACAAAGTCAATAATTATAATCAAATGCATACTTGATGTCATGTATGTTTGTTTTTAAGTCCCCAGAGAAACTCTGAAAGCTGTGCCCACAAAACAAGTGACAGACAGCAGCCAGAAGAATGGAAGGATGATGGGGTGTTGTGAGAACACAAGTCAAAAGTCTACAGACCAGAGTGAGACGACCCTGAAAACGATCCCAGTAGAAGTTGGTGCTGAAATCACCAATACACAATTTGCAAAAAGTGGACAAAGTGTGGAAAAGGGAAACAAGGAGATTCCTACACCAAGTGAAAAAGAATCAGAGAAGAGAAAAGAGTTTTCAAGAGATGGTTTGGAGGAGATAAAGACTGACGGTAGTGAGACATGCCAGAAACCAAGTAGGGAGACCCCAGAAACCTGCAACAAAAAGGATGAAACGGAGAGGGTAAAAGAGAGGAACAAAAGTGGCAAAGAAATCCTGAAACAGAAGAGGATAATCTCACAGGAGGACCCTTGTCCTGTTCAGGATGTGAAGCAAGTAAAGAAACAGACAAAAGGAATCGTCTCCTCCAAAAAAGACTCATCAGAATCTCAAATGCAGGTTACTGCCACAAACCGGGGAGAAAGTGGCAAACCAGGTCAGGAGCCAGCAAAGGATGAAAGTATGTTAATGCTGTATTTTGGTTTGTGTAAGATTTGCCTCAGTGTTTTTAATCAAATATCTCGGTCCGTGGTTGTTACAGGGTCTTCAAACGTGAACTGCCAAAAAAAACAGCTGTGGCAGTTTCTCAAAAAGAAGACTCGACACCCTGTGATTGGTCAGTGCCTTTTTAAAAACATTTAAAGAGATTGCTTTTTAATGATGGAGGAAATGGAGAGAGAAAGAAAAGAGAAAGCACTTTTAACTATATACTTTTTGATTGCTCATGCCATTTGTTTACATTTAGCTGATCATTCAATAAGAACATATGTTAAAGGTGAACAATGTGTCTTCTAGGCCTGAGTGGACTTGTTGAACTCCAATGTGATGAGCATGACCGCATCTACCTGTGTGAGTGCTGCTCTCTGAAGATCCCCGAGAAGGACATCATCAGCCATGTTTCTGGAATCTACCACCAGAAGTTGTATCTGATGGTGAGTAAATGTTTAAACACTTTATGGGTCTGTCTTGTCTTGTATGCTATGTGCAGGGCTCGACATTAACGACTGCCCGATGGCCCGAGGCAATCTAGTATTTAGCTCGGGCAATGAGGCCTCACCTACTGGTTGCCCGATCGGGCAATCTATTATGGCAATTGTGGAGACGTGTCAGTGCCTGACAGCAGTCAAATCGGTTGGAAAACGATGAAAAAGTTGCCAAAAGTCGGTCAACCCGTCTTTCTTCATGGACGTCGCCCAGAGTTCCCGTTAGAATATTTTTTCGGCGGTCCGTTAAAGTTAAATCTTCCGGACAAAATTAGAAAAGTGCCGGTCAAAGGTCTTCTTTGTTATTTATTGAGCTTTAAAACAAATTGATATGATTCGATATTAAACAAACTAATTATAGTAGATTAACTACATTATTCAAAAGTGTACAGTAACTTACAATAACACGGGAATAATAAACGGAGCGCTCTCTCCCTCTCCTGACAGCCCGCCAGTATCATGCAGCTCGCGGATCCAGTAATGAGTGACCCAACAGTCAAACTAAACATATCTATAACTAGTTTAGGTAGTTTGAGAGGTAATTAAAATAGCTACGTGTGATGTTCTAACCTGAAGTGTGTTTTGCTCTGCTCGCCGCTGCAGGTGATCATGCAGAGCTGCGTGTCGACTCGTCAGCAGCAGCTGATCTCTCTCTCCCGTCAGATTAGACTTCACTCGCGTTTATGTCCATATCGATCAGATCTAGCTAGTTCTAGCTAATGATATGACTACCTGCTTATTAAAAGACACCTAAACAATAAGTGTCGCTATGCAACCGGGTGAGGCCACAAAGTATAGCGCAGCATTATGCATTTGTTTACATGCCCACCGGAACCCCGAGGCATTACCAACAGATCAACGCACAATCAACCCATACAGTCTCCCAGACTAACAGTAGATAACATTACAAACATTTTTAACAGGGGCCATAATAGTGTAAATGTTTGTTTTGGCAGTTATAACTGAATGTAATGTTTTCTACTTTTTTACATCTGGGAAGGCATTTGCCTTCATCAGATGGAAAGTGTCTTGAACAACAACTTAAGTATTTCTTATAGCTATGCAGGGCATGCAAGTGAGCAAACACAAACAAGAACTCATGCAAACAAACAAGTGAAATGAAGAATAAAATTGAAATTGTACAATATAATATTGTGGTGGTTCATCTTATAATTCAGTCTAGAGAATGCACCAGACAGCATCTAAGACCTGCAAAAATCTAAATTTTCTAGGGGGAGGCCCCCCAAACCCTTCGTGCGTCATTTCGTCCACGTGCATTTTTCAGGGCAATCTCTTGGGCTCAGGGCCATCTGTAAATTAGCTTAGATGGCCCACAGGGCCATCTCCCAAAATCCTTAATTTCATGCACTGTATGTGTCATTCTTAAAATCCAGTCAGTCAAATTCTCATGATGTACATAAATGCATACAAAGTTAGATTAATTGATTGGGCACTTCCAGAGGCTAGTTATTCTCCCTCAGGGTTTCACCTTTTCCTAATATCAGTTTTTTTATATGTACATATACCATGTGAATATTGCTCTAAGATTGACTTGATCCTGACCTATTCCCTTAGGACACAGCTTCACATTTACAATAAATGCCGGACATCATTTCAGTCATTGAAGTCTTCATTTTACCCCTTCAGCTGCTAGATACACAATTTATATGATTGAATACATACTTTTAAAAAGTCTTAAAATGAATATCATAGCAGCTCACATTGCAGGCTACTTACTCATAGCTATTAATAGTAACTAAACATCTTCATTACCTCTCAGAAACCTTTCTTTTAGAATGTATTTCTACCATATTTTATACACAAGAACTGATATCTGTTTTGTTGTAAAAATGCTTTTCCATTTGTGTGTTTTTGACTTTAGAAGTTCCAGAAACTCCCGCCTCTACCAGAGATGCAACAGGTGAAGGCAATCAGAGATGTGGCTGCTTTGTTTGAACAACAGAATGGATATGGAGAGGCTCAGGTTTGGTCATTATTATTATATTTGTGGACATTGTAATAATGGTTACTTATTGAACCAAAGAAAGTATTAAATGTGGCCATAGTTGAAAGATTCAAACAGAATTAAATAACAAGTTTTACTTATTGTTGTTCATATCTGGACTCCAGGTTGTGTATCTGGAGAAAGAGATTTACGATGAAATCTTGGTACAAAACTTTAAATCAGGTGAGTCTACATCCATCCCTTATTTTGAGATTGTATGTTGTTAGTAGTTTTGGTTGAAGCTCATATCATTCAATTAACATATGATTTTAAAAGTCTAGAGAGCTTCTACTGTAAAGTATTCCTTCTGTATTTTCTATCATCTGAAAAAGCCGTAAAGACGGTTAAGGAACTTCAGGATCAAATGAACATCAGAAGGTATGAAAGACCTTCTACCTCAGCTCCGTCTAGTGTTCAACCTGTGGACACATCGGCTGCTCAACATCAGCTCGGTTCTGTGAAGGACGACTACCAGGTCAGTCTGTTTAACATCAATCGGGTCTAAATGCATGCTGAGCTGATGAAACTGATGTAGCATGAAATGCAGCTGTTTTGATTTGTGGCTTTTTGGCAGCTGCACAACTGAGCAGTCTACAAAATATTGTTTTGTTCATTTCATTTCAAAGGAGGTGAATATGGAGGTTGTTGAGGATTCAGTAAAAGTTGGTGCTGAAATCACCAATACACAATTTGCAAAAAGTGGACAAAGTGTGGAAAAGGGAAACAAGGAGATGCCTACACCAAGTGAAAAAGAATCAGAGAAGAGAAAAGAGTTTTCAAGAGATGGTTTGGAGGAGATAAAGACTGACGGTAGTGAGACATGCCAGAAACCAAGTAGGGAGACCCCAGAAACCTGCAACAAAAAGGATGAAACGGATGAAACGGAGAGGGTAAAAGAGAGGAACAAAAGTGGCAAAGAAATCCTGAAACAGAAGAGGATAATCTCACAGGAGGACCCTTGTCCTGTTCAGGATGTGAAGCAAGTAAAGAAACAGACAAAAGGAATCGTCTCCTCCAAAAAAGACTCATCAGAATCTCAAATGCAGGTTACTGCCACAAACCGGGGAGAAAGTGGCAAACCAGGTCAGGAGCCAGCAAAGGATGAAAGTATGTTAATGCTGTATTTTGGTTTGTGTAAGATTTGCCTCAGTGTTTTTAATCAAATATCTCGGTCCGTGGTTGTTACAGGGTCTTCAAACGTGAACTGCCAAAAAAACCAGCTGTGGCAGTTTCTCAAAAAGAAGACTCGACACCCTGTGATTGGTCAGTGCCTTTTTAAAAACATTTAAAGAGATTGCTTTTTAATGATGGAGGAAATGGAGAGAGAAAGAAAAGAGAAAGCACTTTTAACTATATACTTTTTGATTGCTCATGCCATTTGTTTACATTTAGCTGATCATTCAATAAGAACATATGTTAAAGGTGAACAATGTGTCTTCTAGGCCTGAGTGGACTTGTTGAACTCCAATGTGATGAGCGTGACCCCATCTACCTGTGTGAGTGCTGCTCTCTGAAGATCCCCGAGAAGGACATCATCAGCCATGTTTCTGGAATCTACCACCAGAAGTTGTATCTGATGGTGAGTAAATGTTTAAACACTTTATGGGTCTGTCTTGTCTTGTATGCTATGTGTCATTCTTAAAATCCAGTCAGTCAAATTCTCATGATGTACATAAATCCATACAAAGTTAGATTAATTGATTGGGCACTTCCAGAGGCTAGTTCTTTTCCCTCAGGGTTTCACCTTTTCCTAATATCAGTTTTTTTATATGTACATATACCATGTGAATATTGCTCTAAGATGGACTTGATCCTGACCTATTCCCTTAGGACACAGCTTCACATTTACAATAAATGCCGGACATCATTTCAGTCATTGAAGTCTTCATTTTACCCCTTCAGCTGCTAGATACACAACTTATATGATTGAATACTGTTGTAGCAAACACCGTGGTGGTGGCTTAAAGCCCACCTCCGCTACGCGCCGTTCGTTAGATGAGCCTAGTTATATTTAATAAAAGGAGGAGTTCAAAACACCGGAATAAAGGTTATAACAATAATCTGATTTTACTGGTAAAAAACACTTATACAAGTTTACAGAGTACTCTGGACTTCCAGTTCTACTGCCGTGCATTACAGGTATCGGGACCAGCCAGTCAGAAACAGGAAGCATTTTGCATGAATAAACAACAGTATTCATAAACATTTGTGGGGCGGAGATGTGTTGAGCTGCTCACTCCCCCAGGTGTTTTTACTGGTTGGATTCACTTCTGGTCGGGTCCAATACAGCGAATCAGAGTTCTGGGAAAAAAGTATGTTTCTTCTGAACAGAGCGTGAGATTCGGAAGTACACAAGGACAGAGTCAATCTTTATCTCTGCACCTGTATTCACTCCTTTACTTTCCCAAGGAATATTTCACACAAACTATTCTTTCCCAGACAACCAAACATTGTACACAGATATATTGATGCCCAGAAAGGACCTTGAAAAGAATATGTGTGTGTGCTGGTGGGAGGAGGTGTATGTGTGTGTAGCAGGATATCTGGGTCAGTGAGTGTAAGTGAGAAGAGAATATATATATATATATAGGATTACTTAAAACAGTTCAAACTATACATGTTCACTAAAATACAGTTCAAAATAATACATGTTTACTTCAATACAGTTTAGAACCATATCTGTTAACTTTAATACATACTTTTAAAAAGTCTTAAAATGAATATCATAGCAGCTCACATTGCAGGCTACTTACTCATAGCTATTAATAGTAACTAAACATCTTCATTACCTCTCAGAAACCTTTCTTTTAGAATGTATTTCTACCATATTTTATACACAAGAACTGATATCTGTTTTGTTGTAAAAATGCTTTTCCATTTGTGTGTTTTTGACTTTAGAAGTTCCAGAAACTCCCGCCTCTACCAGAGATGCAACAGGTGAAGGCAATCAGAGATGTGGCTGCTTTGTTTGAACAACAGAATGGATATGGAGAGGCTCAGGTTTGGTCATTATTATTATATTTGTGGACATTGTAATAATGGTTACTTATTGAACCAAAGAAAGTATTAAATGTGGCCATAGTTGAAAGATTCAAACAGAATTAAATAACAAGTTTTACTTATTGTTGTTCATATCTGGACTCCAGGTTGTGTATCTGGAGAAAGAGATTTACGATGAAATCTTGGTACAAAACTTTAAATCAGGTGAGTCTACATCCATCCCTTATTTTGAGATTGTATGTTGTTAGTAGTTTTGGTTGAAGCTCATATCATTCAATTAACATATGATTTTAAAAGTCTAGAGAGCTTCTACTGTAAAGTATTCCTTCTGTATTTTCTATCATCTGAAAAAGCCGTAAAGACGGTTAAGGAACTTCAGGATCAAATGAACATCAGAAGGTATGAAAGACCTTCTACCTCAGCTCCGTCTAGTGTTCAACCTGTGGACACATCGGCTGCTCAACATCAGCTCGGTTCTGTGAAGGACGACTACCAGGTCAGTCTGTTTAACATCAATCGGGTCTAAATGCATGCTGAGCTGATGAAACTGATGTAGCATGAAATGCAGCTGTTTTGATTTGTGGCTTTTTGGCAGCTGCACAACTGAGCAGTCTACAAAATATTGTTTTGTTCATTTCAAAGAAGGTGAATATGGAGGTTGATGAGGATTCAGAAGACTCCTGCCTGACTGTTTCCAAAAGCAGCGTGGACAAAGCTGAAATCTTTTCAAACAAAACGTTTGCACCTTTTAAAATAGCTGCCATTTCCCAAAAAGAGGGGACATGCAAAACTGCACCAACTTCATGTTTTAATGAAACCACGCCAAAGACTTCCATGCCAGCCAAATCAACAGCAGCCAGCTCCATATCCACCATGGGAGAAACTGCCAATGGACGTAGAGCAACTCTCTCTATCTCTACTGCCACCACCTCTGAACCAGCAGCAACCACCACCACCTCAACTGCATCCATCTCAAGTACGATGTCAACAACTAAATCTGCAACATTGCCCAAACCTCTGGAAAATATTACTGGAGCTGCAGCCAATGTTACAGCTAAGACTTCATATAAAGCTGCCACAGCTTCTAACAAAGAGTCCATGGTAGTGCATGAAGCCACCTCCAAAACTGCACCTGCTTCCAAAAAGGAAAACGCCTCCAGAAACTCTGAAAATGTCTCTACAGCTTTGTTCCCGTCTCAAACCCATCCCGTAACATCTGTAGCCGATATTAAAATGGCAGTGAAATGTGATAATACTGAAGCCTTTGTAGAGACTGCAGCTATGAAGAATTCAGTGGCTTCAACAGCTGATGTTGCACCAAATGTTCAAAAGAGTAAAGCGCCAAAAGCTCCTAAACTGAACACGCACACAAATCCATCAGAGCCATCACGTAACTCCACAACTCCTAAAGTTGGTAAGTATTCTTTTTTTATAGAGTGTAAAACAGTGTGTTTTGCTATTGATATTATTTTAGAACCGGTAAATGCATAATCATATTCATAAATCAATCACACTCAATTTAAAAATAAAACGTTGGTCAGGGTTTAAGGCTTGCTTTATAAATTTTTTTTAACTAGTTTAATTTCCTTATTTTACCCCTTAAACACATTTAAGTTGACACTTGTATAAATAATAAAACCGTAATCATGTTCTACTCTGGGATCTGTGTATTATATCATCCCCATTGTCCAGTGAGTTGGGATCTTCCTGCTTTTAAAGCATGAAGATATAACGCACCAAAACAAGTGTAGAAAAGGATCGATTATGTTTGAATTCATTATAGAGATGTTTGAATTCATTATAATTGATCATATGAATGTAATGATTTATAAATGTGCTTATAAGTTTACTAATTGTAGAAATAGTGGTGAAAAAGTACAATAAGTGAAAGTTAAGTAAGTTTAGTATAATGGCTGCAGAGTTCAGAGCCTGGGTTACCTTGATGAAGAGATGTAGGGGAAGCGGAAGAGGAAACCCTCTCCACACACACACAATACACACCAGCTGTCATGAAGTAACTGACACACACACACTGTCACAAGACTATGTCATGTGTGGTTTAAAAGCATGAGTTTAGAACAAGGGGGATCTTCTCCCCACACTGATCTTCAAACCAGTTTGGTTTGCTCCTATGGACGAACTACATCACAGGATGACCTTGCCTGACTTCCTTCTTCATATGAGAATGTGTAAGGGAGCATCTGAAACTGTGATAGAGAACACACTGCATCGAACATCGGGAGGATTAATCATTTACCAACCAGTTGTGGGTTACGATTTGGATTATCAAAAATCTTTTGCTTCCAAGACTTTAAAAGACTTTGCATAAGATCACAGGATTTTCTACACGCTCTTCAGTTCAGCAGGAAAGGGAGAAATTGCTAGCCCGGGTTATCTCTGATATAATCTTAACATTTAAATAGAAAGGGCTTTATGGCTTTTTATTCTGGTGCTTATCAGTGTGAGCCACGTAGGCGTATCTCCTTGCCACCAGCTGGAACAGTTTCTTTCCGTTAACTCTGAGTGGTGCCATTAGGGCTGAGAACCGGACCCTTTCAACAGAGAGCAGGTCCAGTACCACCTGAACAGGGGTAACCTGGGATCTAACACAGACTGTTTGATACAGTACTGTATGGTCTTTGTCTTGACTGTCTCTCTCTTTATTCTTCGCTGTAGGAATTCAGAAGGCTTTATTAAGAACAAGAGACGTGCATGTCTCCTCAACCTCTACAACACACACTGCAGAGGTTTTAAGACAGAACGTTACCTACACCAGTCCAGCCTCAAGACAAGATGACGGTAAGTTAAAGGGTCTTTTTTTCTGAGCACCATGTTTGAAATATATGCATATTTTGTATCTACATACAAATACATAACAATGTTAAACTTGTACTTTTTTTTTTATTATTCAAATATTTTTATTGATTTACCACATATAACAAACAGCAGCACTCAACATTAAAAAATACAGCACACACAGAAAGTATACAAAATATCAATTGACATCCAGAAGAGATACAAAATATGTATATAGAAAGTAAACATACACATAAATTATTAAATGAAAAGCTACATGGTTAAATAACCAAAAGTAAAAATGAAAACATAATTGAATAAAAAACAATGTGGAGGGGGTTGGCTACGTTATTTTAATGTTAGAGAATTCGTTCTCAAAGTAGGACAGAAATGGTTGCCAGACCTTATAGTACTTTGTGATAGAGCCCCGGGTAGTGTGCTTTAGCTGCTCAAGTTTAAGATGGGACATTACTTCCTCTACCCAGCGCTTGTGAGACGGCGGTGCAGCCTTCTTCCAACTAAAGAGTATCAGACGTCTAGCAAGTAGGGTAGAGAATGCCACAGCCTCAGCCTGATCAGTTGTTATTCGTGTCTCCTGTGTGACCACGCCAAATAATGCAGTCAATGGGTTAGCATCCACAGCCGTGTTACACGTGTACGAAAAGGTTTTAAATATACCAGTCCAAAAAGGGGCCAGTTTTGGACAGAGCCAAAACATGTGACTTAGGCTGGCCGGGTCCCGACTGCACCTGATGCAGGTTGGGTCTAGACCTGGGTAAAATCTGGCCAGTTTACTTGCAGATAGATGTAACTTATGCAAAACCTTAAATTGTAGCAGCCCATGTCTAATGCACATTGAGGATGAGTGGACAAACCGAATTGCTGCCTGCCAAATAGTATCTGATATAGTTATTCCCAGCTCTTCCTCCCATTGCCTCATTAAGTGATTAAGCGACGGAGCGGCGACCCTCTGAATATTGTCATATAATACAGACACCAGACCCCTGTCACAGGGATCCATATTTAAACAGTCATCAATCCAGGTACTCTGTGGGGCTGCTAGAGAGAAGTGGGTCCTGACATAACTACGTATCTGCAAATATCTGAAGAAACATGACTGTGGGATATTGAAATCCTTCTTTAACTGCTCAAAAGAAATAAAGTGTACATTTTTAAAAAGATCTTTAACACACCTAATCCCTCTCCCATGCCATAACCGAAAAGATGGATCAGTGAGAGATGGAGAAAAATTTACATTTGCCAGAATTGAGGAAGCAATAAGTGCCCGTTTGTGTTTGAAATGAATTCTAAACTGAGTCCATATCTTTAGAGAGCCTTGGATGACTGGGTTATTCGTCCAGTAGTTTTTACTCAAGGGTAGTGAAGCGCAAATTAAAGAGCAAAGTGACACTGGATTACTTGAATGCTGCTCCATTATAGACCAAACTGGGGATTCGTCCGTCACATCAACCCAAAACATCAGCTTGTGGATGTTGGCAGCCCAATAATAATACAAATAATTGGGTAAGGACAAACCACCCTCCCCCTTTGGCCTTTCCAAATACTCTTTCCTAATTCGAGGTACAGCTTTATTCCAAATAAAAGTGGAAGTGTATTTATTTAATTCCCTAAAGAAGGATTTAGGGATGAAGATTGGGATTGCCTGAAACAGAAATAAGAACCTGGGCATGATCGTCATTTTAACAGAATTAACCCTGCCAGCTAGTGACAGGGGGAGAGTCGACCATCTCTCCATGTCCAGTTTAGCCTTATCAAGCACTTTTAAAATTATTGTCCATCAGATCTTTGTATTTGTAAGTGACACAGACACCTAGGTATGTAAAGCTGTCCTTACACACAGTGAAAGGGAAGTTCTGATGTGACATTTGACGTGCTTTATCATTTATGGGGAATAGAACACTTTTACTCAGGTTCAATTTATAGCCCGACACCCGGCCAAACTCGGCGATAAGTTCCAAGGCAATGGGTATAGTGGCATGGGGATCCGAAAGAAGATGATCATCCGCATAGAGCGACAATTTATGCAATTCTCCCCCCCTTTGCACTCCAATTAGACTAGCGGTCTCTCTTAACATTATTGCCAGGGGCTCTATAGCAATATCGAATATCTGGGGGCTCAGTGGACAACCCTGTCGTGTCCCACGGAAAAGTGGGAAATAATGAGACATTATCCCATTAGTTTGAATTGAAGCTTTAGGCGCTGTATAAAGGATCTTGATCAGCCAACAAAGAGTAGGGCCGAAGCCGAACTTCTCGAGCGCAGTGAACAGGTAATTGTATTCAATCCTATCAAATGCCTTCTGTGCATCCAAGGATATAATAAGTTCAGGTTCGACATTGTTGGGCTGGTAGATAACATTGAACACACGGCGGAGGTTGCTTGAAAGTTGTCTACCCACAATGAAACCAGTCTGATCTGGATGTATCAATTTAGGCATAATTTTCTCAAGCCTCCCTGCTAGGACCTTGGTTAGAATTTTATAGTCGCAACATAAAAGACTAATGGGGCGATATGATTCACACAACGGATCTTTATTCTTTTTGAGTAATAGTGAGATAGAGGCCTGCGTCATAGTTGGGGGAAGAGCCTTCCTAACCAGGACCTCCTCGAATACCTTTACTAATAGCGGCAGTAGTTTAGGGGCAAACATTTTGTTTTAATTGCGTTGTCAATCTCTGTTAAAGTTATATTTCTCTCCAGTCCAGATTTGTCTGATTCATCCAAGGAGGGCATTTCAATTTTACTAAATAAGTCATCTACTAATTCCTTGCTACTTGCCCCCGAGGTGTACAGATTCTCATAGAAAGACTGGAACTGGGCATTAATGTTTTTTTGGTCTGTGACAATATTACCTTCCTCATCTTTTATTGCAGATATAAAACCTGCTGCTGCTGACTGTTTAAGTTGATGGCACAAAAGCTTGCTTGCACGCTCCCCATGTTCGTAGATATTAAAGCGTGATTTTAAGTGAAGATCTACAGCGTCCCCATTGGACAGAGAATCAAATTCTGTCTGAAGCGAAATTCTCTCCTTGTAAAGATTCTCCGAAGGCGATACTGAATGTAATCGGTCAATCACTTTAATCCTATCAATCAATTCTGTAGCTTTGAATTTCCTTTTAGTTTCACCAGCGTTATAAGATATCACTTGCCCCTTTACATATGCTTTCATGGTTTCCCATAGTGTGAAATAACTTATCTCTGGGGACTCATTGGTTTCGAGAAAGAAATCTATTTGTGTGTTTATAAAGTCAACAAAGTTTTTTTCCGCAAGCAGCCTAGGATTAAGGCGCCATACGCGTTGGCGGAGTATATTTTCTGGAAAACGGAGCTTCAAAAGTACTGGGCAATGGTCTGATATGACTATACTGTTGTATTCCACCTGTGTAGTTATGGGCAATAGTTTTTGGTCTATTAAAAAACAATCAATTCTAGAGTACGTTTGGTGTACTGGGGAGAAAAAAGAGAACTGTTTGGAATTCGGGTATTTACATCTCCAGGGGTCAACCACTCCGTAGGCTTGAAGGAATGTATTTATGCAGCTTGCTGATTTATTAGGTGTGGTGACCTTACTGCCAGAACGATCTAGCACAGAGTCTAGGACACAATTTAGGTCCCCCCCTAATATTAATTCATGCGAGTCTAGGCCTGGCAACAGTGAGAAAAGATTCCTGAAGAAATCAACGTCATCCCAATTTGGGGCATACACATTCGCAAGCACTACTGGCTTATTGAACAGTTTACCTTGAATAATTATGTAACGACCATTTTTGTCCCTTATGGATTTTGACTCTTCAAACTGCACATCTCTGTGCAGGAGAATAGCTACCCCCCTGCTCTTGCTATTAAAATCGGAGTGGAAAACCTGTGTAAATCCTGCTCTTTGAAGCATTAGCTGGTCTTTATTTAATAAATGAGTTTCCTGTAAATATGCTATTTCAGTTTTGAATTTGTTTAGATGAGAAAACACCTTGCTTTGCTTAACCGGGTGATTCAATCCCCTTACATTCCAACTCACCATCGTGGTGTCCGCCCTGCCTATACCTTTATCTACAGACGCCATCGATATGGTCCTTCAAATTATGATACTGCATTGGGGAGTCCCTGAGTTTGGTAAAAGGGTTGTAGCCAAAAAACAAAAACAAAACAAAAAAGGGTGGGAAGGGGAGGATGAGCACTTGTACACATACATTTTCACAAACATAAAACACAATGACAACACGACAAACGTTATGCTTGTCTCCCGCATGGAGACTGCTTGCACTTCCAGCAAACCTCTTCTCCTAAACTGCTTACCATGCGAGCCCCCCATGAGAACTGAACAATTAACTCAATATAGCTCCTTCTCTTCAGCTGACCAGGCAATGCTGAATATAGCGACATCCTAGTTTGAAATATCAGCTAGGTAATGTAACAGCCCTGAACATGTTATGGCTCAATAAAAATAAAACGTTAATGTCCCATATGGTTACACAATGATATTATTGTCCGTGGCGTGGCTTGCCTCAAATTTTTTCCCAGCAAGAACAATAAAGAAAAAAGAAACGTTATCAAATGGGAAATCCTGAGAATTCTAGATATGGAGAACAAAAAAAATATCTCCCAAACATAACCACATATATTGTCCGGCCGAGTTGTTTCTCGTCTCCATCTACAGCAGGGGTCGGCAACAGGCGGACCGCGGTCCGGACCCAGACGCCGACCTATACGGACCCGGACCTATAATCAATACCAGTGGCGAGCTGTGACTTTTATACCTAGGTCCTCTGACCCCCCCCCCCTTCCCTCGAAAAAAAAGAAGAGTTATTACGTCACAGCGTATACTTCAGCGGAATATCAAAACAACGGCCCGGGGTGCAAAACGCATCAATGACAGCGACCCTCTACCACACAAAAGAACAACATTTATATAAACACCTATCATAACAGGGCACCCACAGCCAAGTAACAATTAAAAATGAATTAAGTCGGCACGGCCGCCCACATTGAAAATTACTTAGTCCTACCTTTGATGATCATATCACTTAAACACAAAGTCCATCCTGCTGTCCTTTTGGATGAAGCACTTGATGGCGGGTCATGCAGCTGATCCTTTGCCACTCCAATTTATCATTGTAACTCAATCTTGAAAATGACTCGGTGATGACATCATTGCGAAATTATTAACCATCAACATGAGCCATCATGAACGAACTTATGCTAATCATAAATCTATCGATCATAAATCTATCGATTAGATTTATGATTCGAAAATAATAAAAGTAAGGTAGACATGTGGATATTATCTGGCTGAACAAAACGTGCATTTATCTAACAGGTTTGTTTTCCACAGACCTTATTTCGAGCTATTACATCCATGAGAAATCCCATTGCTTTTCTGTCGAGGGAACCCGAGCGCAGCTTACTTCCGGGTTTTAGGACGCGTCACTGCACCACTTGCATAAACCTCACAGCGGGCGGAACTTGTCATAAAGTCCGCGAAAATAAAGCCCACCCACTTAGAGGGAAGATATGATTGGTCAATTGTACTGTCATTTGACATTACTCTCTCGTTGAGTTACTATAGCGGGCCCTCTGTGAATGTACAGAGGGACCAACAAGCTCTCCCGTCTTCACAGTAACTCGCAGAGACGGCATTTAACCCTTCACATTCCAACAGAAACTAAACAGGCAGATTCGAAGTATTTATTTCTTTGGAAATGTTATTTTAAATACAATTAAATCAAGTTATTTTGGTAAAACTAATGAAAAATGTAACAAAAAAAATATATAAAAAATGTTTTTTTTTAATGTTTTCAAATATTATTTTTTAGAATATCTTAGGCCCTCACAGGCTCACCACTGATCAATACATTAATAGGGGATTTCAATTTTGACGGGGTGATTCTATTTTAACCGCCGCCGACAGGGGGCGAAAGAGACGAGTGAGCGATACAGGGAGAGAAACACAGAAGAGATGAGAGCGCGGCGGAGAGGAAAGTGAGTAAAGAGAATAATTAGCGATACAGGCAGAGAAGACGGAGAGGACAGTGAACAGGTGTGTTAGCGGCAGACAGGGAGAGACAAATAATTACACATGGCGCTCTCCAAGAAGAGGAAAGTGGACAGTGAGAACAGAGCTTTTAACCCTGAGTGGACGGACTCATTCATGTTCATCCTGCCCACTGGGAGCACAGAACCAGTGTGTCTCATTTGTTCAGAGACCGTGGCGCTCAAGCAGAATACAAAAATCAAGTAACTATATTCAGCTCGCGTTATATTTGAAAAACGAGTAATCTGATTACAGTTACTTTCGTAAACCTGAAGTGAATACATTTTGGAATACTTATTGGAATTATTGGTGGAAAAGTTTCCTCATAAAATGTAATATTCATTACCAGCAGAACTGTGTGCACACTGCACAGCGCTGCAGCATGTCTGTGAGCGAGAGAGACAGATACAGCCCGCCCCCGCACGCAGATCAGAGAGAGAGATCTCTTTTAAAATATATTGAAAGTTAGAAACGGAGATGGTTCGATAAAATGTGCAAAATAACGTTAATGTTGCATTTCATAACGGGATCAAATCAAAGTGAATGGCCTGCTGCTGCTGAATGCATGGGGCAAGTGACTGGAAACAGTTTTAAAAGTTATTACGTCGTTTCAGATAATAAATAATAATGATAATTCATTCTATTTAGGGGCGCCTTTCAAAGCACCCAAGGACACCTGACAATTCATAACATATTCTAAGGAAAGGTTTATTACAAATAATGCAGTCCGGGTGATGTTTTTTATGTGGGGTGCAGATGAGAGGGAGCTGTCCAGAATGACACAAAGATGTTGTGTTTGAGTTGTGCTCTTGATAAGCCATTAAAACAGTAAAATAAGTGTCTCCTGTTCACCAAAACATACCCATCTGTTATGGAAAAATAAAGTATTCTAAAAGTAATCTGAATACGTTACTTTTTTAAGACACGTAATCATTGATATGTTAGGTATTGTTTTTGTGCAAAATAAATTGAGTGCAGACTATGCTGTGTATACATTTTAATTATGCAGTGTATGACGTATATTTGTGTAATTTACACAAATATCCACAATTTCTCATTCTTACCTCCAGCAGTCAATATAGGGAAACATCAGGATTATCAGCCTCCTCTTGCCACTGGCGCTGCAGGCAGATTCACCGACAGCCCAGATACATGCCAAGAGACCCGCAACACTAAACAGCAGCAGGAGAGAAGAGATCCGGAGTTAGAGGACTCGAGCGGGGAACAGCAGAACCAACCAAGTACCAGCCAGAGGGCAGAACATGTGTCGACACACTCGCAAGCACTCGCAATGTTTTTAACAGGTAGGTGTTAAAGGTTGACCTGCGTTATTTGCTGTCTTTTTAAAAACAACATTAGTTGTGCCAAGTTTGGAAAGTACCGTGCCACAGAAGCTAGTCAATTTGAGTGGCAGTGTTACTTTGTTGAGCTTGGCGTCGGCCAATCTTCTGCAATCTTTTGGCATTTTCTTTTTCTTGTTCTCTCATCCAAAATACAAGTTTGGGGCAATAAGGTTTTGGGCATGGATGTATAATAAGAACTGGATACAGCGTCAGAGGCGGGGTCTCGTTCTTTCCTATGAGAGCTGCTCATTGGCGCATGAGGACAAAATGGCCCAACCTTCGAGAGAGCGAAACGTCACAGATTACGCGTCATGCCTGGCTGTCAGAGCAGAAGACCCCGTATGTGTGCTCACAGAGCATGCGCCCCTTAAGCCCCGCCCCCCGAGCTCCCACTCTCGGCTCACTAGAATGAATGGAGACAGAAAATAAATCTAGATTCGGCTTTTAGTGCATTTTACAACTTTAAGGACCTAATGATTATAATAAGGGCTATAAAATAATTCATACTGGGTAGTTTATTTAGTTTTAAAAAAAAATATCCGCTGATTTACAGACGTCTCTTTCCCAATGTTAGTCAATGGGAAAAAGTATTTCTGGGCCCAGTGACGTCACGGACTGATACGGAAATTGTAGTACCGCCGTTTGGACACAACGAATATTTTCCTCAGAGTCCGGCGCACTTCCTGGGGGCTTGGTTTTGAGGCTTAAGCAAATGTACTTGATCAAAACGTACTTGTATAAGGAACACTGCTTGTAAGCTACAGTATCGTATACATCTTTGAAATTATTTTCCATCATCATTAAAGTCTTGAGTGTTTTTTGCCATTTATTGTGCTAATGTGTTGTTATGGTTGTCACAGGGAAAAGCAGTCATTTGTCCACCTACTTGAAGGTACAGGGAACTGAGCGTGGTGGATCAATCATAGGTGGGTTCAACCTTGCACAGCAAACTTTTTTCACTTTTTTTCATTCAATTTTATATGTCAAGAGCATACGATATGTTAAAGCCAGCGTGTCACCCCCAGGTCTGGGCTTTGTGTGGGAGTGTCAGGGGATTTCTGTGAGCCCGTTTTACCTGTGTGAGAGCTGCAAGGAAATTATCATCCACTATAACATCTGTGAACACATGAGGAGCTATGATCACCAGTTACAATACATTGTGAGTGAAAAATGGATTCAAAATATCTTTAAGATGAAAGTGTTGCCCCCACATTTTAATATGATATGCATGTGTTTTCAGTGGATGCAGCACCCAAAATTTCTATACTTCTGGGATCTTGATTTTCTTCTTGAAGAGATGAAACAGGACATTGTAGAGGACATCGCCATGATGCTCTCTAAACGGGAGCGTTACTACAAGGTGGATGCACAGGTAACCAGTTCATGTTTCATGCATGTTATCTACATATCCATGCGGTAATACGGTCAAGATCCGGTGTAATTTATGATGGACAAGATATGTCACCATTGTGCTTCACTAGTCTAATGAAACAAGTTAATATACGAAGTGTTTGTGTCTTCTCTCACAAAGTGCATACTGCTGAGACCGGGGGCATTTGAACATGTTAAGAGTCTTTCGTTCAGTGAAGGTAACAGAAACAGTCAATTTGCAACGTCTACAGAGTGTATGGTACATGGGAGTATGCTGTGTTAGGTATCAACTGTGCCTTTTGCTTTTTGCAGCTTTAAAACTGGTTAAAGACCTCAAGAAAGATCCTAAACTGGACTGGCAAACCAGCTTTACTGCACAACAAAAGGGTGAGTCCCATTAGCCAAGTTCAAGGTCTTTTTTTTCTCTTTCTAATACACAGCTTAACTAAAATGACAACCAATCAAAATGTTATATATGACTTTTGTCACCAGCTAACTAGAACCTGGTATAACTTGAATAGTACTTGTAGGTTTTTCATGGTATCTGTCTCTTGTACATTTGAAAGTGTTTATTCACATTTGCAGGTGCTTTAAAATGTTTGTAGCATTTATAAACATTTTTATGAAGTCAAACAGTAGTTATTCTTGTCTGAAATTGAATAGGGCTCTGATGCTGACAATAAGCCAGGGCCCACATGAGGTAGGTCAAATAATAATTTAACCACCACCACTAAATATTTGTGTTAACCTGTTAAGCCCGAGAGACCCCGGTACCGGGGCACTGCCGCAACATCTTGCAGGAAACAGTGTGAGGGCATGTTCATTTAATAAACTATGAATGTTTTATATCCATGTAACGGGAAGAAACTCATCTAACTGATCTTTTTTTCTTTTCTTTTTTTAAAGAAAACCCACAATGCTAACACTGAGCCTCTGAATTAGCAACGAGCGAAAAATGCTAACACCTTACTGCACCGAAAATCACTCACAAAACCTTATTATTTATCTCTTCTCTACATCCATGACATCGTTTCACATCGTGAGGTGACACAGAATCGATGGGTACCCACATTATCACTGAATTATACGAATTCGCGACGTTATAAGCAAAAACGGACATCAAAACAGTGACGCTAGGTAGCTAAAAATGCTAACATTTTTACCTTGGCTCTGTAGTCTCTCCAAAGTGGTCTTCAATGGCATTAACATGATAAAAACCCTGCTGAAGTTAATCCATAGGTTAATCCAATGTGTCTGTGTCCCTTTGAAATGATTTCTGATAATCCATAAGCAATAAAAACTGCTTTTCCGTTTCCAGATGTCAAAGCTAGAGATAGGTTCACTCTGATGCAAAACTGCATGCGCGAAGCCCCCACCTTTTCTCTTCACAATGAGTGTGTGTGGGGGACTCCCCCTTCGATTCTATTGGCTCTAACGGTCAGAAAGAGGTGTCAACCATCAAAATCGAGCAAGGGGGGCCAGAGATATGGAAAATCCACCCAAATGACCCCAGAAGTGGTTGTTTTTTGCTAAATCTCTCTAAAAAGGTCAAATGTCACTTGTTTTGCATCAATCTTGATACAGGGTACTTATATGTTGTACTTTGGATTCCTAAAGCTTTTAGTCTACCTTACCATCATCCAAGGGTAGTTTTCACTATAAGTAAAAAAGAATTATTGGACGGACACTATAATTTACAGTTTTTTACTATGTAAAATCTGAATTTTCTTTAAAATAAAAAACATCTATATTGATTCTGACTTTTCTACATCCAACTCACAGGTTTATCATTACTTTGAGAAAAAAGATTATTAATTTAACCCTTTTAGAAGGGAAGATATGGTCATTTGTTCTGGGAATGTCATTTTCGAGCCTGAGACCTGAAAAACATTCTCAGGGCTTAACAGGTTAATTACAATCCCAAAGTGGCCTTTTTCATTATTTTCTCTAAGCTGTACAAGAGCTAAGCTTTTTAAACTGTTTTCTGTTATTTCTTCTCCCCTGTCTCCTTCTGTAGAAACAAGACAAGAAACAGAGGAATATCATTCCGAAAACACTGTTGGATATTTGGATGGGGTCCAACAAAGAAGAGTCTCGAGTCCTCTGAATGTGAAAAGCAGTTCCCCGAATGCTGATTTTCTTGTCCCTCCCATCTCATCTCTTAGTCCCCAAGAAAAGCCAGGACCCCCAGACTTTCAGCACCAGACGCCTATCACAGAATACCAAGTAAAACAGGCTGAGGTGCATCTAGAATCCCAATCTTCCGCTATTGTTGGTTCTAAAACCAGTCAAACCCTGTCACTGTCTCCCACAGATAAATGCCCTCCAACCAGAAAAAGACCAGCTGATGAACCAGTTGAAACTCTGGACAGATATAGCACAAGTAACCCCCAATTTGAGGATCCTTTGCCAGAATATTACAAACCAACATGCAGTCAGCCCAGCTCAGAATCAGCCTCTGAGTCCTCTTTAGTCAACCCTGCTGCAACCCCCCCCCTCCTGTCTCCATTGGACCAGGACGCAGGACCTGAATCTTATGAACTAGACGAACTTGACGAGTACACGATGCATTTTGATCGCCTATTGGCTCTGGTGAGAAAGACTAAGTTAAATGTTTCCCCTGGCAAATCACCTCCTTCGAATAATGAGAATGCAACCTCCTGCACTTACGATTCATCTCAAAGGGTTGTGAAAAGCAGTTGGGATCAAAAGCATGTGCAGATAATGTCTAACATGCCCCCAAAAGAAACAACAGGGGATTTAAAGCATGTTAATGTGACTCAAGATCCAGCCTCCGGCTACTCATTTGAGGAGATGTCTCTAACGTCTGCAGCTCCTGTGGGCCATGAGAAGCAACTCGTCGCCCCTCATGCAAACTGGGCTCTCTCCGCAAACAACTCATCTCTTATGGGCTCGACTTCAACGAGAGGCAACCTTTTATTCGGAGGGACTGAAGCCCAAACAGTCAGTACAGTGTTAGCTTCTGCCAGCGCTGTGGACCCAAGCGACCCACAACACCAGATAAGTGTCAAAGATCAGAGAAACCCTAGTCTCTTCTGTGATCCCCCAACGATAACCCAGAGACTGTCCATTGAGACCATCATAACTGCCAGGCCTAACGATCTGTTTATGAGCAGCTATAACCGAGAGGCGCTCACTGAGATGAACCAGGGGGGTCGGGCTGCTCACACGCTAGCTGCACCAATGCGCCCCAGCAAAGCTTCAGGAGGCCTATACGTCTTGAACGGACAGCAAGTGTTTATTTCTCCTGCCGCTGTTGGAAGTTACACAACACCAGACCACATCCCTGCATACACAACAAGGGGGGTCTTCCCAAGTCAGATTTACCCAAAGCAGGAAGCAGGGCGCTTCAGTATGCAATCATTTGGACACATATCAGCAAGTCCTCTGCCCCCAGACTTGGTGATGCTGGGACGGCAGCAGCAGTGGCTCTTACAGCAGCAGCAGCTCTTACAGCAGCAGCAGCAGCTCTTACAGCAGCAGCAGCAGTACTCCTCATGGACGATGGCTGCAGCTCCAGCCATCTATAGGATTGATCAAACACAGAGTTCTTCTCAGGTTTACATGCAACCTCTGTTCAATCACTATCCTCCTGCAGCCGATAATGGAATCGTATCCCAGGAATCAGCTAACTCATTTATGGCCACTGGCACAGGGTTGTTTACTCCAGGTCCCCATATGACCGATAACCCTCCTCAATGAAGACTACCTGTTAAACCATGTACAAGGTATTTTTGCAGTACACCCGTTAAATACTGCTGATTGTATTAGATATTTTTTGTGAACACAAGGAAGTTTAGATACATGGCCTACAAATCCCCAGTCTTTGTTCTTTGTTACATTTCAAATAAGGTGTAAATTGTTCATTGCCATCTTGTTTTTTGATATATTTGTGTGTTACACAAATACACATATGAAGGATATGTTTGTAAACATTTTCAGACGGGATATTAAGCTACTGTAGATATTTTTAGTTTTTACATTTTCAGCAGTGTACTTTGATTTATAATGTTTGTTTTAATAAAATTCCTTTATATGCAGACTTTCTGTTGAACATGAAATATTTGTTTATTTTTTTTAATTTGAAAAGGGGGATGGGGATAGTGAAAAACTGTCGCTCCAAAAACAAGGATTGGGTTAATATGAATGATATTGGATTCATTGTAAACTTCTGTCCATCAAATGTTGTACCCCAGTCGATACCACATCTAAAGTTACAGATTGAATTGGTTATGAAGTCTCACAAATTGGTCACATTTTCTTTCCCACAACCAACATCTCTTAGTAGGACAATGTTTAAATGTACAGTTCCTCATTCGACTGCAACATTAAAGTTAGTTAGTTAGTTAGTTAGTTAGTAGTTTTATATAAACCTGATGACTCCTAACATTGCAATTCTTTAAAGTGCTGTATGAAATGTATCTGTCAACATAACTCCAAATATCCAGGGTATTTCACAGATAAGAGCATGTATCACTGTATCCTTGAGCTGCAATTAGTCCAGGCTTTCAACCGTATAAAGTGGTATAAGAAATACTCTAAGATTATTATTCAATACGTGTCACAGTGTACAAGCCCATGAGCATTTTAACTCAACCATTTCCAGAATAGAGCCTATAGGTGACCCTGACCATGCTGTCGGTCTATCATTGGGATTTTTTTACAATCCCTTTTCGTGTTCTGGTATGACCCCAGCTGTGAAAACAAGACATAAAACAGCATTATCAGATAAAGTAAATAATGTTCCCGGTAAACCCAGTCGGGTGGTCATACTCTCCTGTCATATTAAATGGGTTTTATAGCGTCAATGTGTGAGAAACTCAAAACTCTTTCCTGAGTTTGAACATCCCTGTATGTAAAACAACTTTGGTCCTTCTTGCGCAAGATTAAAGTGGCCACTTGTTCGACTCTGAAGACGATGTCGGCTGTGAATAATTGTTCTATCATTGACACACTTTTTAAAACATATTAATCGTTACTTATTGGTTAATTTTATGGGTACAGTGCAACTTAATGGATATCAGTAGAAATAAACATAATATAAAAATGCAGGCAAAAACACTAATATACATCCGTCGTTCCCAGACGGGTAATCTGGTAACAAAAGATGAGACGAGAGGCAGAACTGAAGAGTGCAGCCCGGCCGGGTTTTAGTTGTATTTCAGTGTCAAATATGGTACAAGGCAACAATACCAAAAGCCCTCATCATTATACAAATATCACACGTATATATTCTGCTTTTCCCAAACCACCTGGCATATGTAATTTAGTACGATTAGTTACATGACATGCCAAGTTTTGTCATAACAAGAACATCCAAATGACAAAATAAACTCTCCTGACCTTCTATTCTTCGAGATGATTCCCTCGGGTCTTAGTTTGAAACCATTCCCAGCATAGGAATATAGGCTATAAAACGTACATTTTCTCTGTTACGGGACCAATCTTTGTTCCTTCTGAATCTCATGTCACGCTGACCTGTTCTTATTGGCCACGGGAATGCATTTCTAAGAATTCCATTAAACAAACCATCTCGCTGATGGTCCTTCCCGCCAAAGCAACCACCTTGTTGGTATGGAGTGAACCCGTCTTTACTTGTGACTAAAAGCTAAACAAAACAATGTAATGTGAACATTTTTAACCATACACTATAAGAGTTCACTTTAAAGATCATGACAAAACATAGCTGAGTATTGTTGGAGTAGAATACCTCTGCTACGCGCCGTTCGTTGGATGAGGCTGGATCTCTATTAAATTAAGAAAGGAATTGAAAACACCGGAATCAAAGTTATAACAAATTATCTGAGTTTACTTCTAGTAGGAAACCAAACACATATACAAGTTATACAGAGTACTCGAGCACTCCGGGCTTCAGGCGTGTGATGCGGTTTTACAGGTAGACAGACCAGCTTTCAGAAAACGAGAAGTATGGACTCCAGGTTTGTGATGCGGTTTACCGTCTTCTAGCACCAGCTTTCAACAGACCAGAAGCATTTTTACATACAAAACCAACCGTATACATATCCCTATTTTGGGGCGGAGATGTGTTGAATTCTTCCTTCCCACTTTTCTCCCAAGCGAATTAGAGAACCCCTGGGGAGGAGCTGTTTAAACTGACCACCTCCCCCAAGTGCCCTGACTGGCTGGATTCGCTTCTGGCCGGGTTCAATAGTTCTCACCAGGACTTGAAATTCCAAAGTCCCCTAAGGTCAAAAGTCAATTCTTATCTCCGTCCCGATCTCCCCTCCCTACCTTTTCCAGGGGAGTTATCTCATAAACTTTTCTTTTTAAAACAATTAAACCTTTAGTGCCCCCATAAAAAGAGACCCAAATCTACCTTAAAAACAACATCTGGTGTGTTGAGGTGAAAGGGACAGGGTGTGTATATGACCCAGGAGTGTGATTACTTAAAACAGTTCAAACATGTTCACTAAAATACAATTCAAAATAATACATCTTTACTTCAATACAGTTTAGAATCATATCTTCTTACTTCAGTATAGACTGACCTCTAACTGATTACATTTTAAAAGTAAAATATATGACATTCATACAATGACCCTCTAAATCAGTGGTTCTCAAATGGGGGTACGCGGACCCCTAGGGGTACGTTGGAGTACTGCAGGGGGTACGTGAGATGTATTTTATGTTAATGAAAAAACAACATAAGTAATGCATTTAAACAAACTACTAATAGTAGATTAACTACTTTATTCAAAAGTTTACAGTAATTCTGGATAATAAAATGGGAAAAATAAACGGGGTGCTCTCTTTTCCTCTCTCTCTCTTTCCCTCTCCTGACAGCCCGTCAGTCTCGTGCAGCTCGCTGAACCTGTACTAAGTGACCCGACAGTAAAGAATACATATATTTATAACTAGTTTAGCTAGTTCCAGAGTAGATAAACTAGCTAAGTGTGTTAGGTCTAACTCTTAGTGTATTTTGCTCCGCTCACAGCGGGGGAGCTGTGATCCGGAAGACCTGCGTGTTCTCCGTTATGATCTGATCTCTCTCTCGCGTCCGGTTATACTTCACTCGCGTTTATGTCCAAATCTATCAGATCTAGCTACTTCTAGTTAATAATATGACTGCCTGCTTATCAAAAGGACCTAAACAATAAGCGATGCTTGGCAACGGCGTGTGGCCGCAAAGTATAGCCAGGGATGCAAACTCATCAGGTATGAAAAAGGTGACAAGGATCCGAGCCCCCCAACCCCACGGAATATCGGCTTTAAAATGAGGAATAACAGAGGATTTTAGCAGTCAGAACAACTAAAGCAGTTAATAATAACAGAAACGCCAAACCAATACATCCAATACATGCTTGATTGATTGATTGAAAAGTTTATTAACAGCTTGTATATTGGGTAGGGGAGACCAGGGACAGTTGGAACACGGGTTGGTTGTAACACCTTCAATATCTCCAATCACAAACAAGCTAGAGTGATGACACTCACTCTGCACATGCGCAGTTAGATGGTGAGATCGATGAGAAAAAACGGAGCCACGTTTGAATTTCTCGCGTAAGATATCGGCAAAAGTGTGTTTCTGAGGTAAAATATTAACTAAAATGATATGATGTATTTTTTGGATACTGTCTTGAGTTCAAATGTCTAGGAATCCAAACTAGTATTATTAGAATCACTGTTTTGTAAGCTACAAATATAACTAGCTAAATATGGGTCAAGCTAGCAATCAGGCAGGTTCACAGGGGGTGAAAGCAAGACTGGTGGTCCTGGGACGGTTGTAACGGGACGGTTGTAACATGGCACATTTACAATGATGGCTCATTTGCTTGAATTATCAATTGTTCATTCAAGCATACAGTTGTATTGTTGATTGGTGTGCATTGTCCCTGTAAAAATAAACAGAATAAAACACTGTACAGTAGGCCTAAAGTGTGTGTGTGTGTTTACAGTATGTCAAATGTCAGAAAGAGGAAGACAGACAGGGGAGTGCCACTTGCTCTGCTGCAGATGGGCTCAAATTAAGTTCAGGAGGGCAAATCATTCAGGGAAGTGGCAAAGTCCCTGGATATATGCCATGTCACCCTGTACCGGTTCCATAAGAAGAGGCTGAGGTTGGAGAGTCAGACAAACCCAACAAGAAGCAGAAGATACAGGACTCATCTGATGAAGATGAGGCCCAATACTGCATTGTGTGCCTGGAGAGCTACTCCAGGTCCAAGGAGATCTGGCTGCAGTGTTGCTCCTGTAAAGCCTGGGCACACAAGGACTGCACAGATGGAAGTGCCTTTTACACCTGCCACAACTGTGAATCTGATTAATTCTGGTGTTCTGTTTTAAGTTCTGTTCAAGTTCTGTTAATTGTTCATTGTTTGTTGGAGGATGTGTGAAACCCCATTTAAAATCTTGTTGCCTTAGAATTTGACTGCTTTCCCTATTTTTTGTCATGTAGTGTGAAAAAAGGTAACCGTTATTAACATGTTACAACCGTGCCTGGCATGTGCTACAACTGTCCCTGTACACAAGGACAGTTGTAACAGTTGAGTTTTTTTTTTAAAATACATTTTCCAACCTGTACTTGTTTCATAAAAACATCTTAAATACATTGTTTCAGTAGCTGACATATTGATAATGTATAATATAGCAAAATGGCTATCCTATTGTAAATGGTTTTTTACTTATTGGGGAAAAACCCAAAAAGTGTTGCAACTATCCCTGGTCTCCCCTACAGTACAGTACAGCTCAAAACATACAATTGTTAAGGGGATGCAGACCAGAGAAAGACTTTCGTCTTGTTTACATCAGGGTCCCCCATTTCCAATTCATCATAATTGCAGGTTGTAAGGCTGCTATCAGACTGCTGTCCTGAGCACATATTTAACAGGTGACATGTAAAATGTATACACACAGAATAACAAGTTACATAACATAAGGAGTTCTGAGATATGCTAGATATGTAGTGTAGGCCTACTTGTGTCTGGAACTGTTGTTACACATATTCACGGCCATGGAAATAACATGACAAACGGTCTGCTCAGTATTTTTCTGTCACTCAACTTTACTCAACACAACTCTGTCAATTATCAGGGTGTGTCTGGTTCCAGGTTTAAGGTATGTGGTGGAATTTCACCGAAATAAACTAACAAATATTATAAAATGGTGAGGAAACCTTGTTATACTGAAATGAAGATACTTGAAATAAGACAGGCTTTTAAGGAGTTTAGTCTTGATAAAAGGTAATGTTTGTGCAATTCAGCACTCACAACAGGAAAGAATGAAACCAAGAGGAAGCAATAAAACACAAATACAGATATAGTTGATCAATTATTATTTCGTTGTACAACAATCAATAATAATGAGGAAACATTACCTTTGCTCTCAAGCAGTCATATAGTAATGCTCCACAGACTATAAAGATCTTGTGTGCTTTATACATGTAAAACACACACGAACATACACTTGAACATACAGCTAACACACAAACATCACAATGTATTCAACTAATGCAATACTTAGGTTTCTAAATGACGCACACTCAGTGGCGACTGGTCATTAGGGGCAGGTGGGGCACCACCCCACCTAGTGTCAGCAGAAAGTATTACAAATAATGATTACAAAAAATGCAAAAAAAATATATAAAATATATTTAAAGATCATGGTTAATCATCTGATTCGTCTGTACATTGCTGTTTTAGTCTGTGTTCTTCTAATTAGTGTCTACAGTGTGTGCCTATTGAGCTGTTTAGAGCCATGGGGGACAAAACCTGATCATGCCCCTCCCTCTCACTGTCTAAGTGAACGGTGACTGTAAAAACTACACTGCGCATGCTCAGAGTATTTTCCTATTTAATGTGTGTGGCAAAAAAATAATGACCATAGGGGCACTGAGCTGCCATCCCCACCATACGTCATCTCACATAATTCAGAGCTGATTGGCTGTAAGTACGTGTGCCGCGAAAAGTGTGGTGTGTGAAGAGGAGACGAGAGAAGGTGCAGTGACGCGTCCTAAAACCCGGAAGTAAGCTGCGCATGGCTTCCCTCGACAAAAAAGCAAGGAGATTTCTCCATAGGATTTTAGAAAATAGCTCGAAATAAGATCTGTGGGAAACGTACCTAGATAAATGCACGTTTTGTTCAGCCGGATAATATCCACATTTTATAATTTTTGAATCATAAATCTATCGATTAGATTTATGATAGACTTTTGAAACTACAAGAAGATAAGGAGGACTTTTACAAAAAAGTAATAGACATTTTTGTCCAGAAGGATAGACAAATGGACTTCATCTTCAAGTCAAGGTAAGACTGCAATTTTAGTGAAAATGGGATCTTACTAAGAGAGAACAATTCAATATTTAAATGATAAAATTACATTTTTTGGGTATCCTTTTGTTGAACTGTCTGTTTAAAATTAATCGAAGCATCAGACAAAAAAAGCTTTTGAAAATAATATTATATTTTGGTTTAGGTCAAAATATAATATTTGTAAACCTGAAGAGTCAGTGCCAGTGCCTCACCAGCCATGAACCTCACTGCACGTCACTGCAGAAGCTTATATATAGACATCTAAGTTTTTTGTGCCCCACCACTTTTGTACATATAAAAACGCCACTGCGCACACTCATTTCCCCTAACCATGTTTAACGCACGAACATTAGAACAACATGCAGCCAACCACACGAACATAGATTAGTTGATATGTTAATATGTTCCAGATGTGGAAAGACCATTATCTCATGACCTCTTTAGGAGTAATTCATATCTTGTCAGGATATGAACCACCTAACTAACTAACTAACTGTATTATCTGAGCAGGGCCTCTTTGCACTTCCTTGGCGTCAGCTCACTTAAAGTGAATAATTAGCAAAGAGACAATGGGCATCTCTAAATCTGGAAACTGTAATTCAATAACATACCTAGTTATATTGAGAAGGTCCCAGCCTGATATAACAGTAACAACGTTACAGAGTGTCGAGCAGTCTGCAGCGAAGTACAAAAAGCAGGATATCCGCAGAGGGTCTTATCTTCACATTTTCAGACAAAAAATAGAAGAGGAGGGGCTATAGGATTATTTTTTAATAAACCTGCAACAGGAGAGACAACATGTCTACATTCCTTAAAAGGAGAAGGCAACCAACCTTACAATAATGAATCAATCCGACATTATTTATGACTCATGTAGGTTAGGACATATTTACTGCTACATGTCAACCATTGTATTAGAAACCGCTTGAGAAGAAGAACACGTGGTACACTTACAATGCTCACTTAGAATGATAACATTTCCCATTACACTTATTCCTCCTGTAGGTCTCCAAAGTTTGAAGTCCACAACGCATTGATTTGTGTTCATTGTATTCCTATCAGATATTTGATTGTCAAGACTTGAATCTTCATGTGTGAAAATTGCAACTTTACAGTGTTACAGTACTTTAAAAGAAGCAACAAATCCTGAAGGACAGACAAAACGGGCCAGACAGCATTGTGTAGCCGACCTGATCCACATTATATGGGGAGAAAGAGAGTAGCAGACAGCAGTTTGATACAAATATTTGGAAAGCAGGAAACATTTCACTAAGTATTGATCTTTCATTTCAAACATATATATTTTTTAGAAAAATCCTACTTGTCTAGTCTCTAATCTCATGTGATGACCTGTTGTAGTAACTATCTCTTGGATTTCTTATCCCCTTGTTGACGGATCTGCTGTTTAAGTGGCCGTGACAGACCTCACCTACAAATCCTGCCTCTATGAAATGTACAATTTTTACTAAATGTATAATTGGGTTAGGGTACGGGTACAACAGCAGTGGAGCCAGTGGCCAAAGAACAATGTGCACAGGAAGAGAGTGAACTCTTATTATTTTAGCCTTAACATCAGGAGGCATCAGAACTTAGTAACACTTAACATTTATAATACGTTTCTTACTGTTCAAAATTAAAGTTTTGAACAGTAAGAAAGTTTTTTTGTTTTCAATTGAGTTAAAAGAAGTTGAATTCCATATGACATTGTTTAAGTATTCTGCTTTCATATATATTATTTTATTCACTTTTGTTAAAATGTAATATAATTTCAATAATCTTTATTTGTTTAATTTAGATTTTATATTTGTAATTGTTAATTAGTAAAAGCTGAAACTATGTAACCTCCATATTACCTATAGACAGCAAGGGGAAACCACCTGATGAAGTCCAATTTTTACAACAGTTAAGGCGGCTTCCCTTGATAAAAACTGTCTAGTCTCAACAGTTTACTCAAACAGACTTTGTGTCCTGACCACACTTTTCCAGGAAGCTTTGGTAATATTTGTAGCAGTCTTGGGAACAATCAAGCAAAATCTCACCTGGAATAACATAGTGGTATAGGGATTCAAAAGGCTAGTTTATATCTAATGGTAAGAAATGTGTTATGGCTCAAGTTGCCAGACAGAAACAGTTTTTCACAGAACAGCACAGCACATCCTCAAGGTCCCTCTTATCTTACCTCCCTCACAAAGTTGGCTACGTGTGAAGGCCATTCTGACCCTTTGTGTTACAGACAAAACAAAACAAAATTCTTCCATATTTGTATGCCACTTTTCTACATCATGCAATTTAAATTACTTTAAATAACTCAGAAAGGCTTCATAGGATAATGGAGATACAAGAAACACAAATCAATATATAAAGACATACATATAAAAGGGTTTTAAAAAGAATAATAGAAATAAAATACAGGATAAATATAAGCTCAAATGAAATAAGTCAAACCAAACAGTAGAACAATTATTATAATGCAGTTGCAGTGGCAATTCCAGAAGTCAAATTAATTAATGGTCATCTATTGACCTTTACTTAACTAGTGGTGGTAAGTTAAGTAATACTGTAAGTGCATTTACTCAAGTACTGTACTACTTATTTACAATTGCAAGGTAATTCACTACAATTCAGATAAATAATACAAAATGTAATCTACAAATATATTTTTTACATTATTATAAATTAAAATACCTTGTTGATCCCAGGGTATATGATGCAAAAGAGTGTAGCCTACCATCTGAAATGGGCATTCTACATAACGTGTAGGCTACTTTAACCTTTGCACTTTAAGTAGAGGATAATAGTTTAACTTTTACTTCAGTAAAATGTTAAAGGATTAGGCTACTGTTTATTAACAAAGTTATTCTAAACTAATATCTGAGTAGCTTCTACTTCAATCACTGTCAAACTGACCTTAACTATCACAACAAAATGCCTAATAGGCCACACCCTAACATTATTTTAACCCTCAGAAAGACACACGCACGCGCGCACGCGCACGCGCGCACACACACACACACACACACACACACACACACACACACACACACACACACACAAGGCTGAAGGTGTTGATTTGATTGGCCAACGTAAAGACGTCATTTTCGCAATCTTGAATCGGTACAACCTAAAGATAAACCTGACAAACGGTGGATATGATCCCCAACGTTAATCACTATGTCGCTTAATTGTTGATTCTAGATCTACAAGAGAGACCGATACTAACTTTCTAGCGGTAAGTGAACCTACAGTAGGAAGTCAGCGTCTTTCACTTAATCCTGTTAACAAGTAAGTTTCAGTTGTATTGTTTCGATGGGACGTCGGACTTTAGCTTGTTAGTTGTTTGGTTGCTCAGATAACAGAAATGTTTGTTTATTTTCCATCTGTTGGGTGAACAAACATCAATATTTCTGACCTTACGTTTAGTCAAGTTACGTCGTTAATACGTTTTATTGATAACACACATGTTTACTAACTTATTCTTAAAACACGTGTAACGTGAGTTTACGTTAATTGACAACGGTTAACGGTAGTGAACAGCCGTTAAGTATTTTATTTAACTCTACGGGGAAACGTAGGTAAGTTAGCTGAAATTAGCTAGAAGTTTCACACGAGTGTCGTTACCTAACTGGTCAATATTCTTCTTATGTACAACTTACCACTCTTCTTTTATGAAACTGTAGTGTAAAACAACAACACCAAAAATAACGAACGAAGCTTTTTAAGTTGTCCCTGCTAAACAGCCTGCTTACGCTGGTTTGATTTACAGTGGTGCAAAAAGTACATTTACTCAGGTAGGCTACTGTACTACTTTTAAAAACAAATACTTTTGATTCAACTTGAACTTTTAGGTACTTTTCAGAAATGTAATGCATCTCTAAAAAATAAATGTGTGGATTAACAGTTTATGGTACAAAATAGTAAAATTATACGAAATATTACAAAAGTCAATACTTTGAGTAGAATGCTGTAAACATTATCTAATGATGTCTTATAGTAAATCACACATGAAGTACATTGTACTGATAATACTTCTGTAGTTTTACTTGAGTAAGGTTTTGAATGCAGGAGTTTAATTGTAATGGAGTATAAAATCATGAATGTATTGGTACTATTACTAAAGTAAAGACTGAATAGTTCTTCCTGTTGATCTATCAGTTTATCAGAGTGACAGCAGTACAAGACTTCCTGTGTCTTGTGTAACCCCATTTCCTGCTGCTATGATTCACTTTGAAATGTCTACATACCTCTGTATATGGACTACAAACTTATTGAACGTTGGCATTCATTCTTTGCAGAAGGCTACAATAATTACATCGTTGAGTTAAATATGATTCAGTTTATTTCTTTATAATTAAAAACGTTTACATTTTATTTCAAACTTTTGAAAAGTCACAATCCTGTTTGAACAATGTGTTGATATTGCGCGCCATCTTGTGGCTAGTTTGTAAAAAGGCACAGTTTTATTATTTTCTATGGTCATTTTATTAGTATAACAAATCTAAAATTCAGATACAAGCAGGATATGACATATACTGTCTTTGGATTAGACGTGTACACAACTTTTACAAAACGAAATATGTCAAAAATGACTTGAAGAATTAGTTGTAATTGTGTTAATTCACCATCTAAAGGCACAGGGTATTGCACATTTTCCTGAAAATTGTGGTGAAACAAATATAGCCGGACCCTAATACTTTGTTTCACCATGTAGAGTGAAGGTTTGTAAACTTGGTGAGGGTAACAGAAACTTTACATGACATTAAAATTAATTTTCCTCTACATGGGGACTGCTGTTTTAGGTAGAGTTTATAGTTTTATGATAACGATGGTCAGAGGTCGATCATGGCTGACCCTAATTTACTTTTTTAATAACTGAAACAGTTCAGGCACAAACAAAGGCAAATTAAGTAATAACTCTAATCTCCAACCTTAACTGTATGCAGGTGGTGATTCTACAAAGGCAGCATGCAGCCGGTTGAAGCACAAAAAGGTATGTCTTTCTTTCACAGGTCTGCCATGCCTACACTATTTTTCTGTTATTAAGTGTTGTTGATGCATTCTCTGTTTGTAGGTGTTTCTACCAAAAGCCAGCTGTTGGATTCTCTGAAGGTTTATCTGAACAACAAGAGCAGATTACAACCCATCATCGGTCTGTAGAAAAAAATACTTATTTTGTGTATGTTGTGTATCCTGTTGGGCTGTAGCAAATGTTTTCCTCTTGTTGTGTCTGTCATCACATTTTACAGCATCATATCCCTAAGAAAAAGGAAATCCTCTATCCGACAAATAGATTTGTTGGAGTTAAGGAGTTAGTCTTTTTTACTAAATAAAATTGCTTTAATGAATATAGCTTGTCAGTCACATGAGTCCCGTGTGTGTGCAGCAAGCAGGAGAGCAACACATCTTTTACTGCATTGATGTTATAATAATAATATTTATCTGCAACTATGCAGAAATACCATTAATACGAATAAATAGACAAGCAAAAAAACGCTGCTCAGCAATAGTATGTTTAATGAAGTATCTTAAACCCAACGTTATTAATGAAGTTGTAATTGAAATAACCTGTCACTTCATGTACATTCAGGCCTGGGCAGCATTATAGAATGTGTGAAGGCCGGTACACGCAACAAAGAAATATTTTTCCTGTGTGAGGTATGTGTGTGTCAACTTAATAAAGCTGACATGCGAAACCACATCATGGGAAGTCTCCACAGATACAACTACATTGTAAGTAGTACTGTAGAAGAAGTCACGATAAGAGTTCATGTGCTGACTTGGATCTTAGGTAATTAAGTGTTATGTTTCACAGAAAGCCTGGCACCCCCACTTAGTGTCTGAATGGAAGGAAAAGTCTGACCTGTCTAAGCTGGCCTGGCCACTCATGGAGATGGCTAAGACACTTGAGGGGAAGGAAGGGCCCGGAGACGTCCAGGTATGTTGTTTAACTGTGTACGTTGTGGATGCAAACAGATGCATGTTTGGATATGAGCCCTCACATCTTTGTGTGTACATTCATATAAAGTGGTTAGAGCTCGAAGATGCTGTATACCAGAGGATAGCAACAAACAGCGAGAATGACGGTCAGTGAGTTGTAACACAAGTCTCAAACCCTCTCCACCCCTTCAATTCCACCTCTTCTTCTAATTTGTTTTATTTCTTTATTATGTGTCTTTTTTTTCCTATATATGCATGTCCCACTTTTATTTTATATTTTTTACTCCACATCAGTCTCTTTTTCTTTTTAACACCACAGCAGTAACTCTGATAACTATCTTGAGAGACCAGCAGGGTGAAACTGCAAGCCTTTCAGAGAGCACATCTACGCAGCCGGAGCAAGATTCCCCCCAATCTCAGAGGATTGTATTACTTTCCAAAAACCGACAAGGACAGATCTCCGAAGTGCCAGAGACAAATGTAACAATAGATGTAATCAAGTCCACACGGCGATTAGAGAACACTTCACCTGAACCCTCCCTGCCATCAGAGAACCGCAGCAGCTCTCTGGATGGCTACATGGGAACCGAGCCTCTTATTGGTGAGCAGAAACAAATATATAAAGGTCTTCCTATTGTAGCTCGTCTAAATACAATTTACTAGCATATTCACAAGCCATGTTTCAAGCTCATGTTATTCTTTAAACTTGGCTATACATGCAAAGAGGGCATCCTTAAATACACATTGCTGTCTGTAGTTACATAGAGAGCCGAAGTCCCTCCCTTTCCGGGGGACCTATATGGGACCTTATTTCGGAAAAAGTATGTATTGAAGTCAATGGGGAGAGAAAGATTATCTTTCGATCCCGTTTGAATTGTGCCACGAATTACACATATGATGTTTGTCAATTTAAAAGATAATTTTGCAAGTAAAAAAAATAAAAATGTGAAGTAACACTTTTTTTTGTGTGAAACCACTCAATGAACTACATCTCCTGCCTCGCACCACACACCAAGACGGCCGTCACGTTGGCACATTTCACTTCTTTCTTTCAGAATGAGGCGAAATGTATTAAACGAGGTGAAAATCACTACAAGTCTGGGCATGTTGAGAGCTGTACATACACAAAAGGGGAGTTAGTCGGTTCCGTAAGAGCTAGCATGCGGGACCGGGATTCTGGGATTTGTAGTCTTTCTAGTTGCGTATTTTTCATAGTCTTATATTTCAACAGTTTTACAACTTTTTTGACATGGAAATTATTTTTTAAGATTGACAAACATATGTGTAATTCGTGGCACAATTCAAACGGGATCGAAAGATAATCTTTCTCTCCCCATTGACTTCAATACATAATTTTTCCGAAATAAGGTCCCATGGGTCGGAAATATATGGGCGGGACTTCGCCTCTCTATTACTACTAATAAGTCCTGAGATAGGTAATGATGTTATCTATCTTGTTGCAAGAAAGCAAATCAGTTACATTTCCAAAATGTCAAACTCCTGCTTTAACAGAAGCTGCTTCCATGTGTTTGCCACAGGTCTTCTCCGCGTTGTTGAATGCAGAGGTGAAGATGGCCGCACATACTGTTTCTTATGTCACTGCTGCCGCGTCAGAGCCAACGAGAATGACATCATTGATCACCTAACCAGAACTTCCCATCTCATCAACTACTTGGTATGTTTGTTGTGGAACAATGATTGAAATGAACAAGAGCATAAATACTACATCCAAAGGCTATATAGAAAATGCTAAGTAAAACTTTTGTTTTGTGTAGATGGAAACTCATCCTGAGCAGGTTGAGGTAATTCTGGCAGATATTAATGACGACTATCAGCTTCTCGTATCACTGGCCATGGAGGTGGAGAAAGAAGAGGGCAGAGGGGAGATGAAGGTAATATATATTTCTTTTACTCAGGGTGCGTACGGGTGCTGGAAATACTTGAAAATGCTTGAAATTGTACGAGGTGTTTTCAAGGTTTGAAAAGTGCTTGAATTTTGGGAATGGTGCTTGAATTTGGGATAAAGTGCTTGAAATTGTAAATGCTTTACTTCGCTTTTTAGATTAAAAGAAAATAAAGAAGTCGGAGCGCGCTTAATTGCCTCGCTTTTACATAAAACAGCTCCGCTCCGGCCTTCCCGCGCAATGCGCGTGACCGACAAGTGTTTTTGTTACGTGTGTGACCTGGGCATTCTGATGAGAGTGATAGATGACAGTATGCCAGGAGGTTGCCGTTTCAACGAGCGTTGGCTAGCAGAAGACAAATACAAGCCATGGCTAAGACGAGGGTCAAGCGAAGCCCAAGAGTAGCCTCCTGCAAAGTGTGCAACAATAACGATGCGAGAGTCTGCGCTGACGCCATACACCACACGAAAGGTACGCCAGAGTAGAGCATTTTAGATTAGGCTATCGTTGCATGTAAAATACATGACACTTTTCTCTGTGCGCGGCAAAACAAGCTCGCCAAAATGGCTTCACTAGTCTGGCAGTATTTTAAGTGTCCGAAAATGACAATAAAATAGTGGTATGCAACGTGTGTGTGAAGCAGAAATCCTGCAGCTCCACCCGCTGTGACGGACCGGTGAGCGGAGCAGAACACACATTAAGAGTTAGACCTAACACACTTAGCTATTTGATCTACCTCTGGAACAAGCTAAACTAGTTATAAATATATTTATTCTTCACTGTCGGGTCGCTCATTACTGGATCAGTGAGCTGCAGGAGATACTGACGGGCTGTCAGGGGAGAGAGAGAGGGGGAGAGAGGAAAAGAGAGCGATATCGGTATCGGCCGATACTGATTCCGGCGATCGGCCCCAAAATTGGCGATCGGAGCATCCCTAATAATTGTATATGATATGTTTTATAATGATTGATCATGAAAGTGTTATCAAAGCTGGTAAAGTTGCAGCTAGTTTGAATGACTTTGTATACTGCAGGGTAGCTTGTGAATTTACTCCAGGTGGAACTAAAGTCTGATTTAACACTTGATTATATTTCACATCATTCATCCACATCTGTAAAGTAACTAAAGGTATTAAATACATGTAGTGGAGTCAAAGTACACCATTTACCTCTGACTTGTGTTTACTGCCAACCTAAAAGTACCTCAAAAATAGTAATCAACAATATATTGAAAAGTTATTTGGCTGATTGTTTTATATTGGCTCAGCCAGGTTATATGGGATGCCCAGTCTACGTACAGATGGGTCACTCATTTTGAAATATTATTAGTTAGTTTTCTTTTCTAACATTTTTAATTTTTCATCCTCATGTAGAATGCTATTATGAAATACACATTTGGTTGTTTATAGCATAAAGAACATCTGATTTAATGTGAGGTAGGGAAATAATCATTTGAGTATAAGTATGTGTATATAAATATGTAATTTACAACAGCTGTAAGATGCTTGAAAAGCTTGAAAATGCACCTTGAAAATGCTTGAAAAGTGCTTGAATTTGACTTTGGAAAAGGTGTAAGAACCCTGTTTACTGTATTTACAGATTATCCTGCCTTGGGAATGCTAACCTATTTGTTCATTTATTTACGATAAAGGTTTAGAGTTCACTTGTACTCATTTTCCATCGAAATGTTTAAACATGTGATTTTTCCCAGGTGATCAAGACACCAGAATCACTCGGTATTCAACTGACTGGCAAAAGTTACCACTGGTGTAAGTACAGATGCATGCCCATCCTCTTTTGTCTTTTTAGCCCTTAAACTATTCACCTCAGATTAATTTCTTTAAAACGGGTGGTGTATTCCTTCTAGTTTGAAAACTCAACTTCCTCCAGGCTTGGCTTTAAAAAAATATATAGAATGCATGCAGTAATCCCCATGAAACCAAGGTGACCCCAAGCCTCAGTTCTTCATGAAATGAGATAAAAAGTAGAACCTTTCAGCCCTTGTGGAAGATACCCTTAGTGAGCAGAGTGGAAACCAAAGAAACCAGCTGGAGCTTCACTTGAAGTTTATTAAAACTTGTACAAGGAAAACAGGGTGAGCCATATAAGTGAATACCTATCAATTCTGGAGCACAGCCTTTCCCTAGGGATATTAAACATACATAGGATCAGATGGATTGGGTTGGAGGCTCCTCGGATTTAAATAAAACAGCCGTAATCTCTTATTTTGATGTTTACTCTGAGACTGCTTGTGACCTTGCATGCCAAAGACAAAAGAGCAGTCACAACTCTTATCTCTTATGCAGCTGTAGACCAACAGCCCTAGCTTTTTGTTGACAAGAGAATGACCTGACATGGTGCGAGCCATAACAGGACACTGGGACCCAAGACCCACTGTAGTGTTGAAATGAATGTGCATTACTAAAAAGGCAGGGATGACATCACAACTCCCTTCAGCAACATTTGTAAAAGGATAAGGAGAGTAGTTCATAAACTGTTTTCCTTCTTTATTCTTGTTATTCTCTTAATGTTCATTAAGCCTTAACTTTTACCAGTGTTCAACAAGTGTTTATTTACCTGCATTTAATCAACTATTTGCCTTTTCTTTTACCCATTGGATTTTTAGTGCAGATGCTTGTGTACATATGTTTGTATACCCCCTGTATTGTTTTCCTCTTTTCCAGGTGTAAAGATGATGAGTAATGGGGGGAAACATCCAGACATCCAAAAGCCAAAAAGAACCAATAAAGGTGTGCGTCTATTGAAGCAACATTTTACTTGTTATGTAATTTCCTGTTGCTCATTGAATGAATTTACACTTTTTTGTGATGTGTGAACAACCCTTCAGATCAAGGCATGCCAGAGAAATGTGCCGTGGTGCCGTCGCAATGGCCAAAGAGTAGGAGCGCAAAGCGGAAAATGAGGGGAGTGACAAATCCTGTGTTTAAGGTAAGCCTGCCTCTAACCAAAGGTTCTCTGCTGCTGAAGAGGAGTCCGTTCATCATGGACAGCCTTCCTGTGTCCTCTGCATTCCCCCATTCACCGGACTCAGATCTTCCAGAGTCGCCAGAGTTCCACTCAGAGGATCGTGAGGTGGACTATGACACTGAATCATTTGCAATAAATCCAGCTGAACAATCCGTTCAACATCAGCAAGATCGCCACAGTGGAGAAGGACAGGCTGGTCCATTCATGGAACCAGAAAGAAACGTCACAGTGACTCCGTATCAACAGATGGATGGACATTATAATGGCAATGAATACTTTAACCCTTCAAAAGACATAACCAGAACAACATATCAAAAGGTTTATGGGGGAAATAATTACAACACACAGCAAGGTTCTCACGTAAAATCAAAGAAGAGGGTTTACGAAGAGTGGCCAAATGAAGGCCAACAGACTCAGAATGATTGGTCGACGCCTGCTGTGTCCCACACTCAGGACTGGCCATCCCATAACTCGGCCTACAGATATGAGGCGGGTTCCACCGAGCAGTGGTACAATCCAACTCCACAAAGTGCAGTTGGCCCAAGAATTGAGAGATGCCAAGAGGTTAGCTTTGATGCTACTCAACATTATTACCAGCAACAACCGCCAACTCAGTACATGGCACAAAATCATCAAAGTCTTCAGATAGGCAGTGCGGGACAGCACTGTTGGTCTGGTGATACGGCTGCTCATACAGATGCTGCTAGGGTCCAAATGCATCTTCACTTAGGAGATACCCATGCACAATATGGCAGTAATGCACCAGTGCCTGGAGCACAGTTTGAACCGAGACAAGTGCAAACATACATGGAGTTTTCCGTTGGTCATGTCCAGTCAGCTTCACAAAATGATGCGACACAACCTACGGCCCATCAAGGCATCCAAGCAGGCTATGGGATGCAGTCTTTCCCCAACTACAATGCTGGACCTTGGACAAACCCTTACCAACACTTACCTCATGAAAACAGCGGTGGAGATGGTGTTGGATGGGGGGGGTCTCAGTCAAATGCTTACATGCCACCTCAGCAAGCTCAGTGGTATTATGGAGCCCAGTCTGCGGTTAATTACCGAGCAGCTGGTTTGATTTGACGATTTCAGGAAGTACAGATAAAACAACTTCATGTATGTTAGCATTTCCAATTTTTAACTATGCAAATTTGGCAAACCCCCACTGACACCAAGTTTCTATTGAAGGAGACATTTTTCTAGCACCATTTAATGAAAACGCACTCGGATGCGCCGGCTTAGTTTCTATTGGTGCTGTGGCATTTTTCTTTCTTCTTACATTTTTTTCCCTAGTCTCTGTCAGAAATGGGAATCTCCTAATGGAGGGATGTTATGCCTTTTCATTTTGAATATTATTTAAAATGACCACATTTTTTTTTCTTTACATTAAACAGAATTTCTTCTATTCTTTAATCAAAATCTAAAACAAATCTAATTGTGGACCATTGCGCTGAAATGTGCCTAGATAGTGACATATTTCCTTTGACAGTGTAGGTGTTATAAGTAAAAGTGTATTTGTTGTATCATCTGGTTACAGAAAAGTTTTTCTGTGATTTATAAATTGTATTGGTTCAGAGCAACTGCTGATAAGTTATAAAGTTTCAAATCAGACTAAAGCTCAATTTAATAAAAACATTTGTTTTAAAAGATCAACGAACTGAAAAAAGGTAAGGTTGAGAGCTAGCTAGTTCCCCTTAATAAAAAAAACAACAACACTGAAATGCTTATGCAATGTACAAAAAACAAATTATCCTTATGGTCCAGGAGCTGGCTAAAAGTTAGCATTGTTGTTGTGTTTTCATATTTTTTCCAACTCTTAGCTGAAAAAGTTTATTTAAAATGACAATTCTTTTTCTTTACATTTAAAACAGAATTTCTTCTATTCTTTAATCTAAAACCAAATCTGATTGTGGACCATTGCGCTGAAATGTGCCTAGATAGTGACATATTATTTCCTTTGACACTGTAGGTGTTATAAGTAAAAGTGTATTTGTTGTATCATCTGGTTATAGAAAAGTTTTTCGGTGATTTATAAATTGTATTGGTTCAAAGCAACCGCTGATAAGTTATAAAGTTTCAAATCAGACTAAAGCTCAGTTTTTTTTTTTTAAAAGGGACCAATTTTACTTTGTATGTTATGTTCAATATGTGCCTAGATAACTCTAAATAAGTATTACATTTACAATTAAAGTAAAGACCTACTTAAGGTTTGTGCCAACATTTATTTACTCTGTTTTTGAAAGACCTCTTTTTGCCTGTTTTGTGAACCACTAAAGATAGTATGTCGACAATGGTGTTCTCGGTTGGAACCAGTGTAACAATTATGTTCTGTTCAAAATAAATGCTTACTAAAACCTTTTTTTACTGTAGTTCTTCATTTTAGAGAGTTTCATTCAGAATAATTAACTATATACATGTCAAATAAAATAAATAAGCTAAATGTTGCAGCTATTGTTGTAACTGATCAAGTAAATCAGAAGTCTATATACATGTAAAATAGAATAAGATAAACATAGTTGATATGATAGTGTTTTTTTTAATGCTCATTATGGTACATATACTGTACAACCATATATGTAAATTCCCTCTGATTTGAACGCAACACAGCTGCCGTGCGGAAGCAGCTCCTGCAGGCTGCTGTGGTTTAGCCCCGAGCTAACCAGCAGGCAGCCAGCCTACACTACTGGGAGCACGGCTGCAGCTAGCTATCATTTATAACCAGTCTTTACGTATAACATGCAATCTGTAGGGCTTAAATTCCTAACGCAACTGGCTAACTTGCAGTAGATAACACATCTGGGAGAACCCTGAAGGCTGCCTCGTACTCCCTACGACCGTGTCAAAATGTCAGCTTTCTCTGAGGCAGCTTTAGAAAAGAAACTGTCCGAGCTCAGCAACTCACAACAAAGTGTGCAGACGCTGTCGTTGTGGCTCATTCATCATAGAAAACACTCAAGGACCATTGTCAGTGTTTGGATCAACGAACTGAAAAAAGGTAAGGTCGACAAGAGCTAGCTAGTTCCCCTTAATAAAAAAACAACACTGAAATGCTTATGCAATGTACAAACAACTAATTATCCATATAGTGCAGGAGCTGGCTAAAAGTTAGCATTGTTGTTGTGTTTTCATATTTTTTCCAACTATCTTAGCTAAAAAAGTTATGAGGGACCGCGTCGCTGTTAGCCCAGAAAGGCTAGCTAACTTTCCTGCAGAAACGTTAGCCTGCATTGGCTAACCGTCACGTTGAAGTCTTGCACCACGCTATTGTTATTTATCTAACATTAGTCTGGTTATGTGTTGGACACGTTAGGTCTAATACAGTTAATGGTAATATGTGCATTGACGCTGTGGCCTTTTAAAGCTATGTTTAGCCCTTGCAAACAACAATAAAGGCAGTCATACTATGCCTCACGATCATTTCAAAATGACCCCTTACACTACAGTCTGTGGGCGACCCTCCCACTGCAGATATGCACTACGCTAGGGTTAAATGGTAGCAAAGGGCAGACTTTGAAAGTTAGCAACACATTTGTATTTGCAGTAGAACATTTAGCACTTGATGAGACAAATTGGTTCCCCAAGGAGATGGTGGAGACCAAAAGAGCATTCAGGTGACCAGAATGAGGACTACAAATGAATGTTGCGCGACATCTTTGGGATACTACCCAAAGTTAACGCAAATACCAGCTTTAAAGCAGCTGTATTTGATAATTTATCATTTAGAAAAATCAAATGACAGTGCAAAATCAATAATACAAGTGAACAGTTGGTTTTTGCAGCATTTATTGCTTTAGAATTATGTTTAAAATAACTTTACATTTATGTTCTCGTTATAGATTGCTGAACAGTTAATTTATTTCATTACATTACATGTTACTTGTTAGACGCTTTTATCCAAAGCGACTTACACACTCAATACTGTGGGCAATCCCCACAGGAGCAATTTGGGGTGAAGTGTCTTGCCCAGGGGCACAACGACATGCTGACTGCAGTGGGGTTTGAACCTGTGCTCCCTTGATCCGAACACCAACGCTCTATCCACTGCTCCACACGCCTCCTATTTCACATTTTTGTTCCAGTGATTTCGTACTTCCATAACTGTTCTGTTAAAGACACTTAAACATGTCAATCAATAACGCAGTTCACTAATACTCTAGCTACTGTTGTTGTTAGCTGATGGGATTGACCTGCTTTTTTTTGTAGTTTGTGAGACAACTCAAGCTAGACCAAGGTTCATTTATGAATTTTTTTTTTTTATGAATTAACCCTCTCTTCTTATGCAAATATCCACAAAGGTGACTTTAATTTAAATGATATCTTTAAAACACACCAACTTCAGATGTTCAACACAAACTATAAGTTCGCAAGACATAATCAAGTGTCGGACAATATAATGCTGAAGGATTATCCAGGAGATAACCTGAGAAAAAAGAAGTTACATGAGTATTGTTGTACATTATTGTGTATTGAAGTTGACCGATGTCATATCCATATGATCATTTCGTTTTCTTGTAAATGCTTAACTCCATCGAGCATTTATGCGGCACCATGACATTTTAAAAAACTTTTTTTTGTGAGACTGCATATTTAACACCTTTTTAATTTGCAATGTCAACTTAATATTCAAAAAAGCCATGGTGCAATGTTTGAAAAAGTGTAACTGCACAAACAAAATACTGAATGTGTTAAACATAGTTGTCAGTGTTAGTGCAATTCCATTTTAAGACTGTAAGAAATTGTAACCACATTGAATCACAAAAGTACAATTTAGTGGGTTCACTCAATGTATTGACTAAATTAGGTTACAGTACAAACAGATTGAGTTGTTAATATTGTTTTGAATTAGATTGAAAAAGCCTGTTGTATGAATGTCTGATATATCTGTAGTTGTAGCTTATTCTCTACTACTGGCACGGTTTTCCTGAGACTGCTAGTTAACAGCCTAATGATATCTCAAGAGGCTGTTGTATTTTAGGAGCGTGTCTGAGGACTGAAAGCAGTGTGCAATGGGGACAGAGATAACACATTTCTCTGGAGAATGCACCATCACTTGTATGATGTAACTGTGCCATTAATAGAAGACATACAAAACAAGCCATGCGAAAATATAGTACAAAATAACCCAAAGAAAGGAAATTGTTAAACACTGAACACCAGCCAGATGGTTTGCTGGGTGAAAAGGAAGTAATCCGCGAAAATATTTTTTTCTTCGAATGTAAATAAAGAGCCAGCTTTCTATCGCTGCCCTAACCCCTCTCTAAGGCCCTATGTGTTGCTACAACGAAGTATAAACTGTGTGAGTAAATTGCCATTAATGGATTGTGATTTATAATTTGCTGTGGTTGATACTCAGAACATAGTTACTTCAGTACATAATGTTCTTGCTTGGTTGGGAACATTTACATTTTTTTCCATTGAAATCATTTCTCGGATAAAGACTTAAATAAACTAAAATATGTAGTTTTAGAAGGTTAATTTAACTACTAAGCTAAAACTTCACTCAAATAAGTTATTACAGAATGCCTCACTGTAATATATGTATGTGTGTATATTTGAATTTTTGCAGCTCCATTATCACGCAAGCTGACCTTCCTTTACTTGGCCAATGACGTCATTCAGAACAGCAAGAAGAAAGGACCAGAGTTCACTCAGGACTTTGCTCCGGTCATCGTTGAGGCATTCAAACATGTAAACAGGTATATATATATTTACATTTGTTTAAATGTTTTATCTTTATGAAAATCCTACTTACTGTGCCTTTTTTAGGTTTGATTTACATCACTACCTGATGGGACGTACCTAAACATATTGATATACATTCTACTGAAGAGTTAATAACATTGTATTCATGTATTGTCCAGACCTTCCATCAGAGTTTTTTAAAGTTGGTTAATCTGTATGTCCCGCTCCAGAGATGGAGAGGAGGGCTGTAAGAAACAGTTGGGTCGGGTCTTGTCCATCTGGCAGGAGCGAGCTGTGTACGAGAACATCCTGCTGGATCAGCTCTCACAAGTCCTCTGTAAGTTAACACGACTTACAATAAGCTAATGTGACCAAATAACTATTGTGGACTACGTCGTTCACGTTTAATTTTGCATCATACTATTTCAGAATTGGTTTCCAGTTTCAAAGATTGTTTCCGACTCGTTTGATCCAAACATTTCCAATAACGCTGTAATTCCTAGATGGCGCGAAGAAGGCTAAGAAGAGGTCGTATGAGGAGATCCGACCCGCTGATGAGGACTTTGCTTCTCAGAGTTCCCCCACCGAGCCCCCACAGGTGATTTACTCAACACACAATGCAGCCATAAATACAGGGTATAGCGTAACCACATAGCGGTCCTTTAATAATGATACAGTTGCCTCTGCAAGAAATGTATCATAATACTTCCTTTCTCTGCCGCCTCTCTAATATTGTTTATGTTTGTTATACTAATGTCAACTGCAACTTAATTATTTCTTAATTTCTCTCCTCCCTTTGCTCCCCCAACCTTCCCTCCTTGCCTCTGATCCTCCCTCCACCTCAGACAGCAGAGTTAATCCGAGCCCTGCAGGAGCTGGAAAATGCAGCCTCTGGCGACTCCGTGCTGCGTCAGCGAATCTCCTCCCTTCCTGCTGAGGTGCACGACACGTCGCTACTTCACAGTATAACAGGTAGGAGGCGGGACACAGAACACTATCCTATACTCTGTTTACACACACAAGTCAGTTCCATGGCTCATTAACACACGTGCAATATGTATAGATGTTTTCACTTTCGATCAATGATTTTCTATCATTGAATCGTTTTATCGATCCAAATCGTTACCTCTCTAGTACTTAGTAAATCAACTGCTAATAGTTAAAGACGGACCTCCTCTATGTGTGTCATCTAAGAGTTTTGATAATCTATTATACAAGGGAATGGCAGTGTAATAAAAATGGCTATGAACTAGAGGTCAAGTCAGTGCGTGAAGAACCATCCCTTAATGAATGTATTCACTCTGACATACTGTACATTAAAAGGCTATGAAGCAAAGCACCCTTGCTTAAACTTAAACAAACAAACTGAAGTGTCTTGGAGCATAACACTGAAACTAGAAAAATCTAAATGGGCTAAAATGCCTCAGTGTTCCATAGGAAACAATGATTGATTATACAGCAGCTATTTACATTGCACCAGTATTGATGGATAACTGAATGACCCCCAGTTGAGCCCTCTAGGCTGATAATGTTTAAACATGGTGCCCTGCTCTGTGTGTGCTTCCTGTGCTTTAGATAAGGAGTCAGGAGAGCGGCTCTCCCGGCTGGTGGAGGAGGCCTGCATGCTGCTAGCAGACTACAGCGGCCGCCTGGCTGCAGAGATTGATGACAGGAGGCAGCTCACAAGCACACTAACGGTCTTCCTTCAAAGCCAGAAGGACGGCCTGACCCAGAACGAGCAGAAACTTGAAGTGCGTAAATCACTTTTTTTCTTCTAAATACTGTATGAGTTGTCTACCTCACCTCAGAGTCCTGCACGAGTCCAGTTATGCAAACCTGCACCCCCAGGGTTCAGCACTGAACTGACTTGTGACCCAAAATTATCATCATGTGAAATCTGGATCCTGACATGTTAATAAAACACACTGACGCTTGATTGAACACAGTCACTAACTTTCGGAATCCTTTTTTTCACATTAAAAACAAAAACAATAGCTTTGACTTGCATGTTGAAAATACTGCATCATTATTTACATTTGATTATTTCCTATTTTTCCAGAGAAAACAACAAATATATTTTTACCTGGTGCAGCCTGCATTTTATTGTAACCCCCGCCCCTATATAACATATAAACATATAAATGTATGTTTTAACCCAGTATCCGACCCAGTGCAGGACTCTGCCTCACTTTTGTCTCATGATGTTATTGATTATTTTTGTTCATTTGTCCCATGTAGCTGTTTACTGAGACTTCCTATGAATTAACATTTGTTTTCATGTATTTCAGCATGTTGCATAGTTCTGCAATGACATTGTATGTCTGCTTCAGCAACACAGGCAGACTGTAGATTTAAATTGATGGTCAGGTGTGCTGGCATTAGAAAAACCTGATAAGATACGCTTGAAATCAATGATTCCTGTTCTTTTAACCTTAAAGTCAGTTCGATGTTAACTCAGTGCATGCCTACTTCCCAAAAGGTAAGTATCGACCAAAATTGAAGAATTGGCTACAGAGTTTCTTGTTTTCTCATTGTTCTGGTGAGAATAACTGTCCAGCCTTTATCCACAGGTGGCCGAGAGGATGAAGTATTTCAAATTTGTATCTTCAACCAGTCAACTCTATGTAATAAAAAAACCAAAATGAAAATAAAAAACAAAACTGATTTGTGAGTGCTTTTATTTTGCTGTAACACATGCAGATTCTGGTGGTAAATGCATTGTACACAATTTGAAAGATGGTCTTTAATACCAGAATTATTTTCTTTATGTAGTATTGACACACAGTAAATGCTACCTACACACTCATTGTTACATTTAATTGAGATTAATTCATTAGAATTGGTAGAGCTCAAATATAGGAAAACTCTTATTACAGGTCCAACTTAGAATAGAGGCAAGGTTTTTATGAATTCTGGTACAAAGCAGGATTATATAGCCTGGTATTGTTAGTATATATAACATAATGTAAATTGATGGATTTTTGCACCACATCAACATGCATCAGCTGTTAGGCAAACAAATACATTTGATTTTAGTGACACTCCATGTTACTGGGTCTTTTTAAGGAATATAAATTAGTGCATATATTTGTCTTACAGTCTATTGTGCCACTAGTATTGAATAGAATTGGGAGGGATGAAACCCTCTTTAATGGTCACACATGCAGAGCACACAGCACACACAGTGAAATTTGGCCTCTGCTTTTAACCCATCCTAGTACCAGGAGTCTAGTAGGAGCTACAGTGTGTGTAGGTTGTCTTTAGTACAGACAGTAAAATAAATGTAAGACTTGAACCCACTTTGCTTTTTTGTAATAAAAAAATCAATTATTAAACATTTTTATTTTGATCTTCCCTTTTTTTTTTTAAGATGGAAGTGAACTTGCAGTCAGTCATGGAGCTGTGGCAAAAGTAGTGATACATTTTTGTCATTGAGTTTAAATGGTTTTAAAGCGTAATAACCAAAACATATATATTACATTTTTTCACCAAACCTAATTCATATATGTGTTGGTTTTCAAATAACATTTTAATGTGAGGGATAACTCAGCATATTGTTTTTTCGACGAAAACTCCACACTTCCATTCGAATTCAGTTAGACCATTAGGTAACATCACATTGTATAATGCAAGATGCAATATAATCTTATCACATGAATGATATATCATTTCTATTTTTATCGTATCTTTTTGCCATACATTGTTTTAAAAAATAGCTTTTGAGGTTGAGAGAACATTTAAAAATACCAATGTCATTCAAATTACAAAATATCTGAGCTCTGATGGACTTTTTTTTTGCTGTTGACTTTTTCAGGAATACAAACGCAAACTGGCGAGGGTGACCCAGGTTCGGAAGGAGCTGCGATCGCGTCTGAACAATCTTCCATGACGACTCCACATCTCTTAGACTGACTGAAGTTTCTCCTCCTGGCCGCATACTGGTGGCCTCCTGCTACTGAAACATCTCACCTAACTCCTAAATATTTGACTCTGACATAATCCTCTGTTCTTATTTTTGGAAAGTGTGGTGAAAGAGGGTTTTCCCCATTATGTCTTTAACACATTATTTATCCACATGGCTTCAAATAACAGAGATGTCTTATTTTCTGTGAGCTCATCTCTTTGTGCCGTATTTTATCAGTACATTTTGATTCATTGTCATCAGGCCCTTCATGCTTTGGCCCCTACATTTCACAGCTTTAAAGTGGCATGGGTGACGCTGGTGTGATATTTTTGTATTTATAGTGACTGAAGATAATGCACCAGAGAATATCCCTTTAGTGTGTTCCTTTATAATCATTACTGATCTTTTGGATAACTGTCATCATTTTCTTTTACTATATCTGTAAATGCATCTGTCTTTCTCTTGGTTATAGATCGGTGTTTTATGGAGTGCGATAAAAGAAAAGTGTACTTGTTAAATCATTAGGAAACCATATTGTGAAGCTGAGTAGTAAGCCATGTCCCTGAAAACAAACCAAATTGTTTAATTATCATTTACATGATGCTTCTTTGTGACAAGAATCATTTTTGGATCAGTGTACAAATTCACATTGGCATTTCAATGATGGGAGTTATACCTGTAAGTGATGGTGAAATGGTCATCAAAATACATTACTGACGTTTCTCTCTTTACATCTTTATTGTTGCTCAGACCTCCATTGTCCTGAAAGAAGGAGTCTGTTGTCTTGTTTACTGTATCATACTGCTTGATATATGTATCCTTAAGTCCACACTGAATGCTGTGCAGATGCCTCACACAGCTTGATAGGTGCCCAAAGCCAGACTTAAGCTGTTTGTTTTTGTACATATGAAGCAAATTCTTCTTAGAACCAAATAAACAGAAAATGTAAAATCTTTGCAGCTCTGTCCTCTTTATGTGATTGCATGTTATTATCATTTCAAGGGGGAAACAGAGGTGTGTGAAAAGGCATTCATCAACAGTCATCCACTTTTGTTTACTACTAACAATGCTGATATGTAGCCTACTCAACATAATGGTATGGAGAAATATTAAATCAAACATAATTATAAATAGAATAAACGATCCTATATTAAATCAAATTGTAATAAAAGGAAATGTAATGAAACAAAGGTAAAAATACTCAATACCTTTATATATACAGTCTATGCTCAATACACACAATAATGTCAGTTATACAGTTCCACGTTGTAGTGTAACTGAGTGTACATAACTGTCAAGTAAATAAGTTAGATATTCTTGTAAATCAATATAAATCAAATTGATTGGTTTTTACTATCTGACACTTGAGATACATATTTATTTTATAATGCATATTTGTTGCATATTGTTTAACGTGTCAATGTGTAAGGCTGGGAACTAAACACCTTGTCCGGTGTTTCCTACGGCGAAATGTGCACAAACACACAGGAAGTAGTAATAACAGTTAGCCATCGTAGCATTTTTCCCACATCTGTAAACCTGATTGAATAGAAGAATTATAAACTACAGAAACTCTCATTCGTTACTTTTCGCAAAATTACCACCGGCAGCTCCACATTAAAGTAAAAAGTAACGATAGCGTGGTTGCGTCCGCTAGCCACTAAAGCTAATCGTTAGCTAACCTAGGAACTCTCGGTTTTCTTGTGAATTCAGGTAACGCAAGTGTAACACAATAAGACAATGGACCACTTCGAAACACCATACGAAGAGGAGGCTAACTTTATTGAGTGCAAGGTGAGATAGCTCAAGTGAGCTTACACGAGCTTCGGTTTTGAAATGAATGCAGCGTGTTTTAGTGAGTGTACAACATGCTATTATTATCGAGGCTGTAGTTTGAGTTGATGTTGACTGGTACTGTGTTATACGTAGAGATGTATTGCATATGTTATACGTGGTGTAATGTAACTAAGTACATTTACTCAAGTAATGTACTTTTCTGAGGTTGTACTTTATTTAAGTATTTCCATGTTATGCTACTTTGTAATTCTACTCTACTACAATTCAGAGGCAAATATTATACTTTTACTTATTGAAATGGGTCAATCTGCATCGCGAGTTTTTTTATTTTTGCGACTTATATTTAGATGACAACATTTCTGTACTTTCACTTTCAGTAACATTTTGAATGCAGGACTTTTACTTGTAACAGAGTATTCCTACACTCTGGTATTTCTACTTTTGATTAAAGGTGGGGTAGGTAAGTTTGAGAAACCGGCTCGAGATACACTTGTTGTTATATTCCATGGAATGCTCTTAACATCCCGATAGCAATGAATATCTTAAGTGCTTTGACAACAAATCCATAAAAAAATGTCATCTGTGGAAGCCGTAATACTGTAAAAAGCACGACCAATCATTTTAGCCGGCCCGGCTAAAATAACTGGATGGCCTGTCAGCCTTCCATCTGTGCACAAACTTATCTCGTGCCCTCATTGGTCATGTGCGCGTTCGTGTGTGTTGGAGGAGGGGCTCTATAAGGAAGTGGCAGATTTTCTCCGGTTGTGTATTTTCAAATTCTAGCGATCTCGAGCCGGTTTCTCCAAAATTACCTACCCCACCTTTAAGTACAAGATCAAGTACTTCATCTAAAGAATCTAAATCTAAATCATTACAATCGTAAAAAGCTGTGATACTGACGGTTTTATGTTTTCTCTTTGAAACCAGGTCTGTGAAAAATCCATAAGGGGTGATACCTTGTACAAGATACACCTGACTGTACCAACACATATAAAGGTACAAAACACAACTAATTGTTTCAGAAAGATATGCAGTCTGTAAAATGTGTGTCTATACTTATGTAGCTAATACGACCATGAGTACAAGTCACTTTACTTTACTTTGTTTTTGCCATGTCTTCTTTTTTAACAATCACAGGTCTTCCACAGGATATGTATGTTGTATACTCTTCCACAGAATATAAAAATTCACAGCAGGAAATAAGCAGCAGCGATATGTGAAATTTCACCATCTTTCCAAGCTCACAACACTGCCACCACTACGTTGCCCGCTGTGTATCATGTTACCTTACTTGCTTTTGTTCTGCCAGCCAAACACCATGCATTTTGTGGTACAAAGTTATACCAGAGACCCTCTTGCGATGGTATCATATTGGACCAGGGATGCAAAGTGGGTGACGAAAATAGGCCCTTACAACTTCCAACCCCCCCCCCCCCATCGCCAAAATTCATCTTTTTTCTATCCCAATTACACACCTGTTGTGTGACGCCATATTGGGTCAGGGGTGTTAAGTGGGAGATGCAATGACCCCCTCGCCCTTCCTGCTTGGACCACATCTATTAGGAATCGACCCTCATTTCTCAACTACATCAACTTTACCTTCTTAACAAAAAACAGATACATTAACACCTCGTCCTCAAAAAGTACTCAAAAAATGCGTCACTGTCACAGCTGGTAATCATCTTGTGGTACCAGATCAGTGACAACATGCAAGGTTTTCCTCATTTCTTCTGTTATTCTATCATAAAGACTTTGTCCTGGTGATTTTGGAGGGGTGCCATGTCTTTGAAGAGTGCAACTTGCAGTAAGTTTGTGGCACATGAAGACGCCATACTATCACATTTAGGTTGGGCTTTGATTCTGCTTTCTTGAAGACATCATCTTAAGCTCAACCTACATTTTTCTATTTCCACGTCTGTCAAGTATTGAGACTCAAGGCAACAAAAACACAGCTTAAAACTATGGATACCACACCATTGGAACAGTTATTTTCTTGGTGTCACATGGAGGTTATCCTTAGACCTGTCTCACATGCACTTCGAAAAATATTTCCGACTCCTTTTCGAAAACTTGCCAGCTCAGGGACTTATACAGATTTTTGCAAATCTTCTTCTTTGGCTTTTATCCGATCAAAAGCTGCAGCACTCCGAGGCAAGGCGCAAAGGGAGTCTGCACATTCCTGTTTTTGTGGGAAGTTTCGACTGCTGTCCTGAGACGCAAGACTACACATGGATGGTTCTTCGAGAGCTAAGAATTATAGTTGATAACAAATTGTCCACAATGGGGAGCTACATAAGCTCTTCAGCATCTTCAGTCCATCCTCAGTGTCTACACTTGATGCATACAGAGTGACACAGTACTGATGTGTGGTCAGTCGCGTTTTGAAAGATTATACTGCCCAATACACAATCACTCTTGTTATGCGCTGTTAAGCAAAAGGATTTGAACATTGGTCCAAAAAAACAGGATACTGCTTCTCTACATAACAATAATTTAATTTATTTTTAATTTATTTTTGTTGAGATTACCGAGAATCGGACCGGGAATTATTTGCTCACCATGTGGTATGCGCCGTAACCTTTCGGCTAACGGGTCAACCACCACAATATCATTTTCAATTAAATGTGTTTTTAAACAGTTAACATTCTCCCACGAAGAAAGACTAAAATATTCAATTATGTTTCAAACCAATTGAGGATATATACCTTTACCACACCTCAAGTGAGCTGTGTTTAGAAGAATGTGTTTCCATGATATAACCCCTTCTCTGTTTGAAGCAGTGGTGAACCATTATCCTGTTTACCCACCACTGATTGACTTAACTTTTATTGCTCTCTTTTCGTTCCTGGCAGAAAGAGGATGACCTCATTGCTTCGGGTAAGTAAACTTTCTCTCCAGCCTTGAAATGTTGTCCTATTCAGGCCTTGAGTATATTTGCTGTCTATTTTGGCACGTAATTGAGTCCACACACGAAGGTAAGCAAGGTCTGGTTTTAATGGTCATCATTTATGTCTAGATTCATCAACTGTCAAAAAATGGTATGAAGTCAAAGGACTATTACAAATCTATGCCAGCATCTTATATACACCTTCTAGCGTATGTCTAAACACCTTAATGTGATTTTTGTCTGGGTCTGTTTTCATGCTTTGGCTGAGGCACCTTACTTCCAGTTGAGAGGAGTTTTGAATTACCTGCACAGAGGCCTGACATAACCGCACTGAACTCCTTTGAGATGAATGGGAACACCGTCTACCCGGGCCTTTTTGCCCCAAAACAGCGACGAACCTCACTAGTCCTCTTGTGGCTGAATTGGAAAAAATGTTCTGTACCAAGGTTCCAAAATCGGCTGGGGGGCCTTTCCCTACAAGATGTAATGTGCTTTTGTCTATATTCATGCTATATATTGTATGTTGGACAGTTATTCAGCACATGTTCCAAGTAGCCAAAACGCCTCACAGCAGTAATAATCGAGGATGTGTGATTGCCAGCCAAAGCCACCCAGAGTGCAGCTAACTGGAGCTGATCGTCAGTCCAAACATCCACATGCACGGCCTTTTTTTGATGGTGGATAACTGACATTCCCCTCTATTTTGTGCAGCGAGATGATTGCTCCGTGTAGTTAAATCATGCTGGCGCCCTGTGAGCTTGGCTAGGAAGACACTTCCTTGGCTGTCTGGCCTGGTGTGTTGGTTCGGACACCGTAGGCAAGACTGGTTGGCTCTGAGAATGCTCCTCTTGGTCTCAATGATATGGTTAGCTAGCTAAATTAGCTACGTTTTCTTCTTAGGAGTTTACCTTGAGATCCGCTGTTGCCACCAGCTGAGGGTGTATCTTCTTCTGGTGGCTTTGAGTCAACAGAAATGTATTCACCCATCATTACAGTGGGTTGCACTTGCAAACATTTTGGTGGCACAGTAAGTTTCAACATGGCTGTCCCATAACTTACTATAGCTACATTCGGTGGCTTCACAAATCATTGTGGTGCAGAAGCATCAGTGAGTGCACCAACATGTCTGTGGTTCAACTGACAGAAGGATGTTCGGGGTAACTGTAAGACGATAGACTTGCAGAGGAGCCGATGCACTAACTGAGTGACAACAATGGTGGTCGTGCAACCATGCACATAAAACAAGCTGACTGTTCAGTCCAACTTTCTGTTGGAAGGTGGTTTCAAACTGAAGAAAAAAACTGCTCACGCTCAAGCTGCGTCATGCTCTTAGTAAACATTGCTTTTTTGTGACGATTTTTTGGGGATGGTACTTTTGGTAATGTGGATTAAGCGTTACACAGCTTTTGTCTTTGAGTTGCGACAGGAGGCCTAGGCAGTTTTGCCTCTCCCCAGTCATCAATTTTTTACTTGCAATGTACTTGTTTATACACCATAAAATCAGATTAGTCAACATTTCTGAACCTGGGGACATTTGCACGGCAACACCAAAGAGTCATGAGATACAGAAGATATGCACCACATGTGAAACAATCTCCCTGCTGATGTAAGTAGAGCAGGATTTGTGGACTGAAGTGAAATGTTCAAAGAAGAAACGTTGAAGATCATGCCTATTAGCATGTGTGGAGGTTCTTTTTTTGAAGAAACTAGATTTCAGATGTCAGAATATGATGTCAAAAACAAAATGTTTGTTACTTCAGCTAACGGTCTTTGCTTATCCCTTACGCAGCATCCACACGGCGGCGTGCGTTGAAGCTTGCCGGCGGGCGTGTCTGAAAATCGACCAACAACCAATCGCATGAATCTCCCGCCCCGGACACACAAGCACGCGGTTTGATTGGCTAGAGCTTGTACTGGCATATGATTTGATTGGCTGACGCTTCCGTCGAAGCTTCAAAAGTTGAACATTGCTCAACTTTTGAAGCGAGCAACGTGAGCAACGCGAGCAACGCGACGCTCCCACAATGCAGTTCGGCAAAGCTTGACGTCACCCCATTCAAAGTGAATGGGCAGAAGCTTTGAAGCTTCAACGCACACCGCCGTGTGGACGGGCCGTTAGTCTATTTCTCTATCTGAACATCTATCTCTCCCTCTCTCATTATCTCTAAATCCATATACAATGATGCAGTGTGGTATAACTAAAACTAAAACAAATTATTTACAATGCATTATTAACTCTCTATTGCAAAGCTTCCCTATCCTCGCTATTATCTCTTGCTAACCACCAGTGTTTGGGTTTCTCAGGGCTTGCCGTCAGACGCAACTTCGTACCAGTATTTGAGGACATATTCCAATTTCTGGATTACTTAAAGCTTGATGAGGCCATCATTGGTGAATAACTTAATACACTTCTTTTACTTCTAATACTTTTCTATGTTCATTTGATCCATATTTAACTTTTTTCTGCTTTGTTTCTTTTTTTTAGGTTTGGACTACTTAGAGGAGCTGTCTTGGAGTGACCCACAATCAGGCCCCAGATACTCTTGTACGCTTTGCAGTCATCAGATTTCACACCTACAGGTTATAGTCCTTCATGTGATTGGACGTAAACACCGGCTGAAATATATGGTAAAGCGTTGTGAACATCTTCAGAAAACTAGTGTCTTCTCATGCCTTTTAGGACAAAAAACAATGTAAGAATGCCATACTTGTATGATTTATTTAGGAAACGAAGAGGCCTGAGTTGCTGACCCGGAATAAACAGTTCACATTGACCCAGAGTGGTAAGGCTATACGAGCCAGAGCAGAGATAATCGAGAGACAGGATGGACGAGGAACTCCAGTGGTGGGACATATAGATTTCAGTAACCGCACATGTTGAATATTATAATGTAACATGTTATTTTCAAATCATAATAATAACTTTTTTGTCTTTCAGATAATTGGGAAAAAGGGGATGGAGAGAAAATTAAACATATCGAGAGGTACAGTCCTACTGTGAATTCTGTGTAATAATGAACTGAAGAAGATATTGGCAGGGTTACATACAATATATCCTATGCCCTCCATTAATGTATAATGTATAGAAATCTAAACAAGTAAGAGTTTGACTAGACATTTTAAGAGGGACTTTAGAGGGTTTCTGATGATTATTGCCTATACAACAGATTTGTGGGGCTGATATTGATAATAAATATCAGCCAATAGTCATTTTATGTCCCCTTCTTTTAAAAGTATGTTTTTAATTTTTGAAGGTGTTTTTTAACTATATTTGTACTAAACAAGACATTTTAGAGTATTTTCCTGGAAACAATGCTGAACTGTCTGACTTAAGTTGCACAGTTAAGCACTGGTCTCTTCTGATACACTTCTGTAAATGTTTTAGTATAACCCAGCTGGATAATTTTCAACTCCAGTCTGTTAGTGAGATGTTTTGAAACCGATGAGGTGTTGGTTAAAATGTACAGACGGAAGACCAAGAAACACCATAAAGACAGGAACAGTAACATATTGAGCTTCTCAAGTCACAAGTGATGCAGAGCAGCAGGAAGTATTAGTACAGCAATATGTCAACAATGTCCACTATTCAGTCCATGTAGCCTAGCAACAAGTAACACAAAGCAACACAACAAAGCTAAGGAATCTAATATCTAATATATATCATTCCAATAACTTGTATATAGACTCGTGCTGCACTATTCCACATCATCACTTTATTTTATAACTATTTTTCTTTTTGTATTGCTCTTGCTATCTGTATTGTTATTATGTTGCATTGTTGGAGAAGCCTGTGACATAAGAATTTCAACTACATAATTACTCTGTAGCTATGTCAGATTGACAATAAAGAACCTTGAACCTTGAATAATAGCCTTTTTTCACACATGCAAAAATGCAAAGAAGCATAAGCATGTGAATAAAATACAGCCGTTATGATGGAGTTCTTGTTAGAAAAGGATTGAAAGATGTCGTAACAAGTTAGCAAGTTAGGCATACGTCCTTAAAAGGGATACTTTAAAGTCATCACATTTATATAAAAAAAAAAAGAAGCTTATATGAGTGATTATGAGTACGTTATATTTTCTGTTCTAACATTTATTTTTGTTCCCTAGTTCCCCAAAGGCAAGAGCATAACAGGGACCAAACCACCTCACAGAGTTCAATGCAGCTAGATGTGCCGTCACACCGCCCAGGACTGAAGGACCATCAGGACTCTCACACACAGAGGCCTCCTGCAGGTTACTCAAACTCACCCCCGTTCCATCCAGGAGACCCTCACATATCGAACAGAGACAGACCGATGTACCAGGAGGAGTACTCTCTCAGACATGGCCGCATGGACGAGGAGCTGCAGAGGACAGATTACAGGCAAAGTGAAATGCACAGACGAGAGTATCTGGACCCTGACTTTTGTGCGGAGTATGAAAATACTTATGTTGAAGATCCACCAAGAAGAGGCGCACCTGAGCCCGTTGGTGGTTTAAGGTATGATTCAATGGAGCAGATGCCCCATCACCAGAATGTAGAGCATTACGCAGAAGAGCCCCCTCCTTACAGAAGAAATCCCCAAGAAAAAGATCAACTGAAGGAGTTCTACACTGATGAAGTCGGGCGTAGCCAAGGTCATGCCGAGTACCAACCCTTGCAGCAGGTGTACCAAGAAGGCCATGAACAGCGAGGGTCTCTAGAAAGGGAATCTTGTGGAAATAACGGTATGAATAGAGCAGGCAGGGAAGGATCCTGGGAACCAGAGACCAAGAGGAGAGTCCAACCCACACCTATGGAGAGCGGCCAGTCGCATGACCATTTGTTTAACACAATCATAGATTATTGTCATGAAATGGGAGAACCACATCAAGTGCAGGCCGGAGGGCACAGCAGAACCGGACCTGATACCTCCCAGAGGGGAGTCGAACCTGCCGTAGCCTTTTCTGAAATCCCTGAGCCGTTCAAGCGTTTCCTGGCGGGGGCGGCTAATGATGAGGGCCACGATAGAAGAAAAAGAAAGAGTCGCTTCACTGATGCCACTGCCGAGGAGTTTGAAACGACAAATGAGATGTGAGTGATAATGAACCTGGTTTAGATTTCTATCCCTGTTACTGGCTGGCTGATATCTTTTAAAAATGTTGAAATTAAATTATTCTACTGAATGCTTTCGGTTTTAATCTTCCTAATTTAATTGTGCTTTCTGAATTAAGGTTCAACGATGAGTATAGACCTCCAAATCCAAAGTTTGGTGGTCATCCTAGACATGTTAGACCGGAAATCCATCAACTTCCTGACAACAACATCGAATCACAGGTGGTTGATTAGAAAGTTACACATTTTTCAAGTAATCTTCTAATATGTCATTCATGATGAAATGCAAAATCAAAATCAACATTTGAATAATTTAGTGGGCTACACTAATATTAAAAGTATTATCCTTTTTGTAAAGTTAGATTCCAGTTGTGGCTGTGTAGGATTGATTTTGATTTGTGTGATCCAAACATTTCCAATAAGTCAAGAGCATTAAGAGGTATTATTATTTAAGTGACGTCAAACCTATTGTTTTTTTTAGAGCCTACAATATACTGAAGGCTATCAAAGAGGTGGCCCAGAGTCAAGCGATGTCTTTGATATGATGGTAAGATTGCACATTTTTGTATTTATAACACATGAAGCAGCAATGTGTTAGTTGTGTAGCCTTTCTTTAAGGGCATCATAACTGTCTTTTTCCCTTTTCATCAGAAAAACATTGAAATTGAAAATGCTGAAGAGGCTCACTTCCTGAAAAACAAACTCTGCAACCTTCTGAAAGACTTCAAGAACAAAAAATCTGCGAAAGTTGTGGTATGTGTCACCCCGCATAGGGTCAGTCTTTCTACCTGAACATATCGTTTTATTCTCTGCTTCTTTGCAAAGCAGAATAAATTAATTTATAAGGAAACATGTTTTGGTTGCTATAGCAAAATAGCCAAGGCAGAGGATCCACTTCCCAAGACTACAACAGCCTTAGCCCAGGCCGAGAGTTGTCTCCAAGACACCAGTATGAGACTACCTTCAGAGAAGATTCAGACCGGAGGCGACCAGACGACCTCTTCTTTCAAGAAGATCACAGAGGAAGAGACTGGCAGCAGCATGAGCTTATCCCTGACGTGCGGACTCAAGAATACCACCATCCTGTACGCAGGGAACCGAGGCGGTCAAACAGAAGCCGCTATGAAGGTACAGTTTATAATATGTGATTTATATAACGTATATAATAAAGGATTTTCTATTCACTGAATCATGCATTTGGGGTAAGTTAACACTCATCATTTGGACAATTTATTCTATATTAAGAATGATCTCATGTCCTGTTTTCCCTGTGCACTTCATTTAGGGTTTTTTCATATTTTTTGTCTTTCAGAGGTCTTTGGATTGCCCGGGCAATCTCGGACACTTCATGCTAACCATCCAGATGAGCCAGCACGCTATCCTGAAAGGTTTCAAGAACCCATGAACCCTCATGATTACTTACCTGCCGGCCAGACATTTTTGGACCCCTACAACTCTGCTCCTCCACTCCACATGGAGCGAGAACCTAGGATGGACAGGGGCCCTCGGTACTCCAACAGCCTAGACAAAATCACCTCTACCCTTCTGGAACTGGTGGCAAGGAAATAAATTCCATAACAATCCTGTAAACTAAACATCTATGTGTTCATTGGGATACTTTGATTTGAAAACATGTTCTGATGTTAAATGTCTTTCTTGCATTGTTTTTTTTTTTACTTATTGAGGTATTAGATTTCACTTAATGAACATTACTGATGTTTTGGGACTATTTTCTGCAGACATTTCTTTATAATGTGGTACAGTCCAAGAGTTTATTGAAAAATAAAAACATTAGGCCATTAAATCAGTCTCATCAGTCATCTCATCCTATGTTTTATTAGCGACAGTGGCATTGCATTGAGATATTTTACTACAATTGGACATTGCTGTGTGTTTTAGTCATTGTATTTTTTACTAGTGCAATCTGCTTCACAATGACTAATAACACTTTGTCCTTAACATATTAATCTCTCAATTTGGTGAATTTTATAAAAAGAGCCTCCTCTCCTGCTGTTGCTCGGGTAACGTAACGACTACGTCATCACGTTTGTGCATATAACTATTTCCGGTTCGAGCGGCAGCCATCTTGTTTCCTCTTGCTAGCTAAATAAAATAAATAATACGCTGAGCCGGACTTCACTTCGAACCCGTTAAACAAAGTGAGTAAGAAACTAAAAGTCGTTTGTGTGTGTAACGTCTACGAGAAAGTAGCATTTGCTGTGTGGAAGTATGAGCAATTACATCACCTATTTTCATTTGCTGTTCTTGACCAATAGACGATTGTTTTGGAAGATGAACATAGGCGCCATTTCCCTCCCCGCTCTCTGAGGCGCTTATTGGTGGCCCGCTGAAGGGATCACGGGCGGTCAGGAAACTGGTGTTCCGTGTCCACCATGTTGGCTCTAGCCGTAATGATTGCCAGACTGCCTGGCCATTTCTACTGGAGCCCGAATGGCGTCAGTTGCAGAACGAAGTTAGCCCTAAAAACCTTGATTGGTGGAATCTAGTCCGAGGTTTGATTGGTCTGAAGGACAGATCCAAACGTAGTCTTTATTGGTTAGACTGCTTCTTCCTAGCTCGGGAAAGCTTTGCAAAGTTTCACTTGAAGGCAGGACACGTTGTTCAGTGGTGATTAAATGATAAACACTGCGGATTTTCGTTTGTGCTGTTCAACGGTCTCCAGTGTGCATCTCCAACATGCTAACATTTACTCCACTTACGTTAGCACGGTCAACAGTATCATAACGTTAGCTTGTAGTGCTAATTGTGGTTTACAGCCGTCATGACACCAATAAGAACTACTGTGTGTTTTTAAAATTCTAGTTTATATTGGCAACATTACTTTAACATTGAATTAAATTCTGTATTCCGTCGGCTAACGTTAACCGTGATGTGACATTGGTTTATCCTGCTAGCTGCTTTGTTCTTTCTAACTGGTTTATGCTGTATCCACCTAGTTAAAGTGCAACATCGTGTTAAAGACTAACGCGTTTAAGAGCAAAGTTGCCTTACTGCCAAATGCGTTTGCTCTTTATATTAAATGTGTCTTTGTTTCCTTGCGGAGGTCAGTGAAAGCAACACTCTTGATTCAATTTAATGCACATCATTTTTATTTAATGTACGCAATATCAGTAATAGGCTTAAGTGCATCACAGAAATTCTATCATATATTTAATATAAATATGTATAAAAGACACAATCTCTCTGCTATATCCCTGCTGCAAGGTGATATATCCATTAACGGCAGTGGAGACGAATACTGTGTATAGTTCACAATCTTTCAACCTTGTTAAGCTATAAGAGGTATATTACATGTTTTATTTCGTTGTTACCTTTTAATCTAGCAGAGTGTAATTAAAATGACTCTATGAAGGCTGTGCTACTTTAGCAAAGGTACTCTGACTAACATATACAAACAAGTCATTGACCATTTATTTATGCAGGTGTGTGCATTAGCTTTTTTCACATTTTGTGGGTGAATGCATAAATTGGCCCGGCTACCATGAGGGTGCCGTGTGTTTATGAAACCCATAGTGTGGCTGGTGTATGTTTTATCTCTAAACAGCATCAGTGAGAGCAAACATGTCCCTGATACGGGCAGCACAGGTCACAGGAAGGTCTCATTTGTATGGTGACCTTGCCAGGTGTCGTTACTGAGGCATTTTGGGTAGCCAGAATACATGTAAGGAGAAAATTGCTGCAGAGATTAATTTGTGCAGCTCCACTCTAATCATTAACTGGATAGATGTAGTACCTGCTCTAGTCCCCATGCTCCTCACTAAAATAGAAAAGGGAACATTTAGCTTTGTTTCTCTTGAGTCTCTGTCTCTTTCTACCCCTCCCATCCTGTAAAAACTCTCCTCTCTGTCCTTCTCCATCCTTCCGGTTCCCCTCCCCCTCTAAGTTTTTAATTGATGGGGCAGGTTTGCTCTCCTTCTCTCTCTTATGCTTTTTGTGTTCCTCACTACAGTCGGGATTTGCAGAAATATGCAGCCCTTAACCTTCAGGTCAAACTGCCGTCCTTTGAACAAGTATCAGTTAAAGGCAATTCTGGCTTAAATGTGATCACCATCACTCCTTCAATTTTTGTCCCTTCTTATAACACTTTATTGTCTAAGCTGTACATGTCTTCATCAGTTTGCTTATTATATTTTAATTACTAATTCAGTCAATGGGTTATTAACACACAATGTGTGGTGCACATGAGCAGTGTCATGCTATGGTTGCTCTGAATGGAAGGTTACTGTGTATAAAGTATGTCCATCAAACATTGGTGAGCCAACAAGAAGGGCATTGTATGACATTGCTGACGTGGTTATTTGATGACGTTTTAACCGTGGAAGTTGCTGTGAGCGTAGTTTTTTTGGATCAAGACAACAATGTCTTTGTTTACACACTTTCACCCATATCTCTTATGTCTTGTTTATCCACAAATAGGACGAGAGTTAAATGCATTTCCCCCCTTTTCCACGGCTGTTAACCAGTCAGAGGATTCTTCTTCATTTTGTACAAAGGCTCTTCAATGAAATTTGCATTTATTCCTTTTAGTTAACATTTGATTGACACCATAAATAAGGGTTCTTTGGATTAATGTTGTTGAGGTAAATTGCATAACTATTTGCTCCCATAAAATTGTTAAATAAACCCATCTGATTCATATTCTAATTGAATGTATACTTTTTCCTCTGCTAGCATAACACTAACAGTGTAATCAATCTTGTTATAACAAGTAGGCTGGTTAGAGGCTAGATGTTCGCGGTTTGTCCCTGTGAGTGTGGGCAAGGATGAATGAGAAAGCAAGGGCAAAGTGTGTGTGTGCGGACGTGCATGTACCTGTGCACACGTATGAGACAGCGAGTCTGCCTATTATGCTTTTGTACTTTAAATCATGTGGATGCAACATGCGGCATCCATTCTGCCACTTGTTTCAGCCAGTGAGAGCCAGCGTGGCTGCCTGCATCACGGTGCTGTCAGCCTGTAGCTGCAGAGAGGAGGCGGGGCAGAGAGAGACATTTAGTTTGACATTGTAAATAAGCAGAGAGCAGTTGTCAGAGAGCAGCCCGTGGAACCTTTCTCATCCGTCAAGCAGCAGGGGAGGCAGGGACCGCCCGAGGACAAACAATGCAGAGGCAAGCCACCACTAGCACACCCTCACACACTCCCTGTAGAGCTTTCCACAACTTTATTTACTCTTTTTCAACAATTCTCTCTACTCTTGCTTCCTCTTTTCCTTCCCTGACCCCTATCCTGCAGCTCAAGGTAACTTAGAGCAGGAAGTTGGCTTTCGGTAGAAGGGGGTTGGGCTGAGGAAAGAGGAGGAGCAGGGGATGTGTCACAGCTGACGGGTGTGTGCAGTATCCAATAGCATAAGAGGACCTTGTCTTCTCATTGGTTGTGAGTGTCAGAGCGAGGCGGGAGCAGGGATCCAGGCGGGGTTTGAGTATCATGTAGCCTGCTAGATTGATTACTCTTGAATGTTAAAGGGGAAGGAGGCTAGAGATTTTTGTCTGATAGTCAGGAGTGCCGCTGTACTGTTTGCCTGCCGCTGCGCTGACTTTCTATTCCCTCTCGCCCTCCTCTCTGCGCCGGGCCAGGGGTCAGCTCAAAGACAAACGCACGGGTCACTGGTTAGGGAGAGGGAGAGGGGTGAGAGAGTTAAAAAAACAGAGAAAGACAGAAGGTCAGTGAGTTTAGGGGACTTGGTCAGAATAAACAGGAGAGACGGGGTTGTATGTTTAGGCAGGAGGAGTACGTTGGGGGGGCTGCTGAAGGAGACGGGGCAATGTGTAAAGGGAGAGTGGAAGAGAGAAGGGGGAGGGGTAGAAGAAGGGGGGCTTGCTCTTCCTTGGCCGGGCTGAGAGCTTTTTTAGAGCCGTCCAGTGGAGCCAGAGTGCCTTTTTGTCTGTTGATACGATCAGAGGACTGGAGGAAGTGAAGGCGCTTGAGAGAGTTTTTCTGTCAACCTCTGTGCCTCTTCTTCCTGCTGCTGCTGCTGCCGCTGCTCTCAAGGAGATTTGAACAGGGCTATCTTTTTCCCTCTATTCTGCTCCAGCAGGGCACACCATTCACCATGAAGGGCACAGGGGTAAGTCAGACCGCCTCAAACATGCACAAAGAGAGAATAACTGTCAAGTTGGTTAGGCTTTATAAATACATATGCTGCACAGTTTCTGAATAAATTGTTTACTTTCTCTCTCCATCATGCTCTGCAGTGATGAGACAGTGTCTGTCCTTTAAAGCCATCCTCAACCCCCCTCCCTCTCCTGCCCTGTAGTACTCTCCTTGGAAGATTGGACTTTTGTGTGAGTGTGTGTGTGTGTGTGTGTGTGTGTTTGTGAGTGTGTGTGTGTGTGTGTGTCTCTCTCTCTCATACATGTCCTTCAGATGTCACATCAGTACATAAATGATGCTTTTTGTCAGAGTGGACTTTACAGGAACAAAAAAACGTGTTTTCTTTTTAATATAGTAATGATTCAGTCAATCTGCCTTTTGGCTTTCACTAGTTTTGACTTTGGACCACCATGCTTACGCACGTCAACACTTACCCACTGTTATCGACTGCATGTAAGTGCATAGCTGCCAGACTCTGCTTGGATGTTCTTCACTTTAATGTCCTGGGGGCCGCAGTGTCTCCCGGTGCTGTTCCAAATCC